GATGCAAATGAGTCCTAGAACAGTAAACATGCACAAAATGATTTCCAATATCTGATAGTTATTAATATCAATCCTCCATCTGGTCAGTTATATGCATTGTGAAATATTAAACCATGATTAAGAATTTTGTGTGGGGCACATTAAATAAGAAAATAATAAAAATAATATTTTAAGAGGAGGCCTCCAATCACCCGAAGATGGTTTTCAGGAGGGTCCTTATAAAATTTTTAAAAATAAATTATATGAAAAAAAAGACTAGGACTACAAGCTAAAGTTTAAAACTAAGAACTAAGATTAAAAATACTAACTAGAGGTTAAAATAGTTCAATAGAAAAACTTTCAGTTTGTGTTTGAAAATCATTTTTGGCATCAGTCTCTTGAGCTCACTTGGCAGTAAGGTCCAATTATTATTACAGTTAATTGCTTTATAATTTTTTGTTTCTTCCCCATTCAGTTCTTAGCCAGCTGACTTTGGGCATGAAACCATTTCAGGTATTATAACTGTGATCTTGGCTCATTGTAGAACTGAACACATGAAGATGTTCAGGGATCTTACCCTTCAATACATCTTGTACAAGACAATATTAATGAGCTAAATGCCTTGCATGCAGTGGGGCCCACTGCAACAATGTCAGGGCCTCAGCTGACTCACTTTTACCTTTACAATCTTTTTTGCAAAGCGATTTTGAAAAGGTTGCAACTGTTTCATCTGTGTTGTAAGACCTGACTGATCTCCCCAAACAATATGTGCATAATAGAGATGTGGTAGGACAGGGCCACTGAAATACGCAGTGAGACTTCTCTTATCTAACATGTGATAGAAGTGATTGAACACTGAAAGGCGACGCCCTAATTCTGGTAAGAGGCTATTGATATGTGTCTTTCATTTCCATTTCTCATTCAGCACTACCCCTAGATACTTAATAAATGAAACACCATTTACTTACCCTACATCAATTCAGAAAAAAATAAAAAGTTATCAAATTGAGACAACATAGTTTTGCTCTCTGCCAGCATCAAATAAGTCTTCTTTACATTAAGTGTTAATTTGTTGTTGATATACCAGCTGGAGATTAGGTTAAAATCATATTGAAGGGGATCATTAAGTTCTTGGGGTGTTGATGCAGCAACCATAAGAACAGTATTGTCTGCTTACAATATCAATTCACTCCTAATTACAGTAGTTGATAAGCTGTTAATGTGCGTGCTGAATAGAAGTAGACCTAAGATATGCCCTTGAGGCATGCCAAGGTTGACATGGAGAGTCTCTGTTACTTCACCATTTATATACATGCATTGCTGTCTGTTTGAGAGATATGATTTGAACCACCTCAGACTTCTCACTGATAGTCCTATGTGTTCAAGCCTTAACCCAGGAGTATCTTGTGGTTTATAGAGTCGAACGCCTTGGATATATCAAGAAATAGCATACCAGTGACTTTTCTTCTGTCCACAGCATCAAGCACAAAAGTATTATTTGCACTGTTTCATTCATAGGGCTTCATGCATTAAAAGATATGTTAGTATGTTATGGGTATTAGAATGGAATTCAAGTTAAAATGAGTCAAACTAACTTGATAACTTTTTTATCATAAAAACTGTGGTGTTTTACAAGAATTTCTAGCCCCAAGGGAAGAGGTACCTGCCCACATGCAAAATTACAATAATTATGTTCTTCTAAAAAGAACTCTAACTTATAAAACAAACTAAATGTACAAAAATGACTGTTGATTGTGCAAGAATGGCAAAAACAAGATTCCCTAAGTCTAAGGTGCAGTCTTCCATCTTTGATTTTGATTCAGAGACACCCACCATTTCCATTGATTTATTCATTTATTTATTACTCTATTTATATGCTCCACCATCTTAAGTTTTTTCATAGAAAAAAAGTCTTGAAAAGGCCTCAGTTCTACTATTACAAACTAATTGAAAGTTATGGCTACATGTGCATTGTATAGTTCAGGGTTGTGAGCCAGTTCCATCAATCAAGGGACTTCTTGGTCATTAAGTGGAGAGACTACTCATTTCTGCTTTAATCAATTTAAAGCTTCAAAATCCTTGGCAAACCCCTGGGAACTTGAACTTTTGAAGCTTGGGCCAAAATTGTGTTCAAATGTCCCATTCTAAGATGAATGATACTTTGTGTGATCAACAAATGCTTAAGAATTTTGCAAAGTCTTGTATTAGCTTTTGGTGCTGCTGTTGGGCTGCATCATTCTTAAATGTGAAATTGTTTTTCTACTCCATTCGCTCAAAAAAGCAGGGCCAAGTTGTTTAAAGCTGGGTTAAGATAATCTGTGGTTAGTGTGAAATTTGATTTCAGATCTGGAAGCTTGAAGAACAAATTCAGTTTATTTCTTTTTTACTACAATTTGATGATTGAATGCTCTAAAAACAATGGGTAAAATTATTCCAAAACAGCTTTTGAATAGAGAAATGTAGAAACCTGGATTAAAATTTAACCCTGGGTTAGCACTAATCGGTCTTTGAACAACTGGGCCCAGACTCTTAAACTCCTCCATTTAAACATGTGTATTATGCAAGAAGGATGCATTTTTCGGTTTGAATCAGAGCCTAACCCCACCTAGAAAAGGTTCAGACTCCCCACTCCCAAGGCATGGATGACAGTCAAATGCCCCTGGGTTGCCCAGGGAGGGAAGGATGTTGAAGCTTTGAATTGTTTTGCGCATTACTGACTAAATATTACAGAAGCTTACATCATAAAAGCAACTTACCAACCCATTAAATACTATTTGAAGTAATGTGCAGTAATGTGTTTGTTTGCATTTGCTAGAGTAATTTTTTGGCACATCAAGGCACTTTTAAAGCCATAACCCTTGCTAATTATGACATCCCTGACAGGTTTCAATTCATGTCAAACATTCCTGTCACAGTGCACTGTCACTTACTGGAAATTCAGCACCATTTTCTGCTAGAGCTGCCTGAAACTTGTCAATAGTGGAGTTCCTTTCTCCCAGCATGATTATAAACTCAGCTAAGTGATCAAAAAGAAAAAAAAACAGGTTGAAAAAATACATCGCATCTATAACTGATAAAAATGGAATCTTTAGATGCACATTTACTCAAAAAGTTTGGAAAGTATAACACTGAATTGTCAGTCTTGTCACAGGATCAGCTACAGTGACAACAATGAATTGTGGTAATATGAGGAAATCTTTTCACCACAGGCTGAGTAATGTTTGGCATACATTCATATTACCAAGCCTAGATCTTTATTTTGTAGCAAATTCCTCCTGCGATACATATGATACCCTAAGGTCCAAGAGATTTTTAGTGCATTGGAAGAAATGGTGAAACACTGATATGGTTGTGTCTATTTACAGTAAAATCTTCTTTGTCAGGTGAAATCATGTGGATGTCATTCATGTGTTTTGCCTGTGAAGCTAGCACTGTGACAAAACTAAACAACATTGTCTTGGATTAATGTTACTTTCAGTATCAAGAATCTGTTAGATTTCTCCACCTTTTTAAAGGTCCCCTGGCCAGTAGAAATATCTGGTTCATTTCAGTTTACATGGATACCGAACATTACAATTTTACCATGAAACACCATATTTAAATCTATAAAAAAAATTGATTTCTCATGGTTGCCATAAAAATACCATTTTAAAATTCCCTGATTTAACCCTGAAAAGTGTTTAATTTCCCTGACAAGCTGAATTAACAATCTCATAAATGAATCCTGATAATGGCATCCAATCGCCACTTATAACCATCCATATTACTTTTTGCTGATTCAAACTACAAAATGCTCTCTCTTCAAAGACCTTTGTTTGTATTTTTCATTATGCACCAGTCATACCTTACAATTTTCTTTCTCCAAAGAAAATTTTTTTTAAACCCATTGGGGAGACACTAATGTTACTTCTGTAGCATCACAGGAAGAACTGAGAAAATAATTCCTTCAACTCTATTTGAAACAATTCACTAATTCACTTTATTCTTCTATAACAAAAATTTAAGTTTTTTTTTTTAGCATGTGACACAGGGAGAAGGCCATGGTGAAATGAGTTTGACTGTAACTTCTCAACAAACACTGAGAGAAACTCAACATGATCAATGGAGATTCTCATAAACAAGTATTCAAGTATGCTAGATCTGTCATGTGGTTTACATACATGAAAGAAATTAGTTTGTTTGTAACTTATGCACAGAAAAAATTTTCATGCTTTGCAAAAATATTTGGTCTCAAAATGCTTCTGGTTTGTTTTGCCTTGTTGTTTAATCATAGTTTTTGGGTAGAAAAGGATTACCTGGTACACCCAACACAATTGTAATAAACTATTTTTTCATACACAACTTGTGTCTGCATGCTATGTTATTAAATAATTAGTTCACACTTTTAGTTGTGTATATTATAAGTTATGGATGCACTTACAAAGTTTCGAGAGCATGAGAGAAGCTAGAGTTAATGCGCATAATTTGTTCCCCTTCTCTTTGAGCTGCACTCTACATACAAATTTTAGCTAACTTTTCCCTGAGTTTAGAAGAATATATATTTTTCCTTGACTTTCCTGACTGTGGCAACCATTTTCCATATCTTCATATTTCTATAACAATTCTGTAACAGATCACAGATCACATAAAAACATGACGTGGACAAAAAAGTAACAATTTGTGCAGCTGTATGTGTCAGTGTTGTTCACATTTTGAATTATTTTGTGATCAATTATTGAACAGATGCATGGCAACACGTCAGGTATTTGTTCCATAAAAAAAAGAAGCAAAAAGGTTGTTAACGTACAACTGGTATCTTCCACGTCCTTCAGCTGTAATTGAACATAGGTATAAACCAATCATAATGGCGTATACTTCGTCTTAATTAAGCTCGGCATGTCCAAATCTATGCATCTAAACCACGTAAACTCGCCCACATCCTCTGGTTTATTATAGTTTTAATTTTTTTTAACGTTACTTGAAATCGTAAAAGGAAATTAATAACGTATACAGAGTTATAAAGTAGAAGATAAAATAGCCTCACCAAGATCTTTGTCATTAATACCCAAGTGATTGTCCAACTCAGTACAAATCTTAGATACAAGAGATAATTGTTCGAGCTGCTGAAGTTCTTCCATGGTTAGAAGAAAAACTTAGGCTTGAGTTAATTTTTCTTCACTATAGATAGCTTATGGACGTAATTGCTGCGTCCTTTCCATCATGGTGGTGTCAGGTTCAGCTTTATGTATGGCACGTTAAATGTAGCCACCCTATACATAATTCAAATAATATGAAGCACCTATCACAGAGTGTGACTTCTGCTGACTTCCTGTTTACTAGAGATTTCGAATGATGGTGAAACCGTCGACGAGACTTTGCTAAAACTATTAGAGAGACTAGGTGGTAGCGGAAACGCCGAAACTTCGTCGAACTTTTGGTTGCCATTCATTAAGACAGGGGCGATCAGTTAAATTGAAACCATGTGATTCGCAAGGGAGACATCTACCCTATGATTAACTGTGATAGGAAGGACACGAGAGGTAACGAATTTTATTTTGTATTGGTCAATGTGGTAGGAAACTGTTAATTGTAGTGTTCGGCTCATTAGTAATTAGTAAAGGTGAAGATTGCCAGGAATGGTCTGGCATTTAGTGTGAAACAGAATTCCTTAAAATTCTTTTCGAGGACTATTGCACTTTCTCTCCGCTAGGGAATGCGACTTTTGGTTAATGTTTCCTTCGAAAACCGTTTGTTTCAAGAGACACCATTTTCTCCTTGGAATTCCCAGTGACCTCCCTCAAGCGGTGTTGTCTCAAACTAGGACCTGAACTATCGATGAAAATTGATAACTATCGATGACAATCGGTAACGATCAATCGATTAAAGCACATGTAGATATAAAAGGGGGATTCTGGCGCATTTTGAACACAACCTTGATTTCAAGTCAACTCATGAATTTTAACCTTGATTTCAAGTCAACCTTGAAATCAAGGCTGGTTTCAAGAGAGCAGTTTTTGCACATTTTGAAAACAACCTTGATTTCAAGGCAACTTAAAATTTCACCAGTGAATAATATTCATCATGTCTCACTTGTGAGTTCTGAAGAGGGTGTGAATATTATAATCTTAAGTGATTCTCTGGAACAGTTAGGGTGTTGATTCATTTTTCTTAGTTTTTTCCAAATCAACGAATTACTTCAGGAGGTAACTCAGTTCCAGGAGGAACAGTCTAAAGCTCTTCTCAGACAGGTCCATCCTTCAGATAGTAGAGAAAAGGCTCACCTTTATTCACAAGTGATTTTTTGATATTGAAGACCTTCAGAGACCACACTGAATCTGTGGTTCACTTCTGACCACCTTCCAGCTCACTAGCTGCATAGAAATATCTCACATTAATGATTGCGTCTGATCCCTTATCTACTGAGATTGTCAGAAATAAGCATGCACTGTGAATAATCTGTTAACTTCAGTAACTGTGACATATTTTTTCCTGAAACTTCTTTCAGTCTTTTTTAAAACTTGCCCCTGCACAATTTAACATGTCTCAAAGAAGCTTCTCATAATAAAGTTGCCTTAAAATCAAGGTTGTTTTCAAAATGTACAAAAATTGTTTTTTTTTAGATCAAGCTTGATTTTGAGGTTGACTTGAAATCAAGGTTGTTTTTCAAAATGTGCTAGAATCCCCCTATTACATCTTCTATTGATATTGAAAATCGATGAACAATCAAATGTGAAAGTTTCTGTGATTTCTTTTCTCATCGATTATCAATAATCATCGAAAATCAATTAAAATCAATTGGTTACACCATGAAAACCCAATTTCAAGTGAACTTTAAGCATACACGTATGTATTTGAAGTCTGGTAATAGCATTTTCATCATGAATAAGAAATCCTTTGAATTTGAAACCTTGCCAGGTTTTAAAGTTTGACTTCTGTTACTAACCATTTTAGCGAAACTGACCAATCTTGTCCCATTATTTCAAACCAAGTTTCCCTTCTGAGTTTCAGGTCCCAACCAATAAGTTGGCTAATGGTGGGAGACATATGTTAAACCAAAATATGATTTGATACAAAACAATTATTCAGACATGTATATGTAATAACAACCACATGCTTTCAAAGTTAGTCTCAAGTGCTCTAATCTAATTTGTTTTTTCATATTTCTCTGTGCATATTTATTGGAAAACAGGGTTTTACTTATTATGGCAGAGGATGGTTTAGCTAGGAACTTAGATGATGTAACAGTAGGTACTGGAGGTAATGGAGTGATACAAGGCAGAACACCACAGTCAGCAGCAAGCAGCCACGGTAAAGGAAAAACTGCAAGTAGAGGAAGAATTTATAATAACAGGCTTGCATCTGCACATGGTCAGTACTATCCTAGTGCTGATAGCTCGTCAGGATACTGTCATCCACATGGCAATGACTGGAAACTCACATCAAATGAAGATGACAAGGCCCGATATACAGTGAAGCAAATTGATCATGATGAGATAGGGGAATTGTCAAGAGAGCAAGACACTGTCCTGGAATCACAACGAGGGGCATGCTACCAACCTACCAAGATGGAGACAGAGGCAGTCTGCCAAAAGAAAGAAGACATTGCTAATGACTCTCGAAAAGCTAGGGGGAAAACTGCTAAAATTTCAGTGGACCAGCCAAGGGCAAAAGAAAGCAGAAGAAAGAACTCACAAGGTAAAAGGGGACTTCAAAGACATCATGGTGGCAACAATGAATTTACCCCTTTATCTCGCGATAGTCATGAATTCTGTAATGACCTTACAATGCAAGAAAGAGTCATTCATAAATCCAAGATTTCTACTAAAATGGACTCTTTAAGCTCTATATGGCAACCTAATTTTAACTACAGTAAACATGGACACAGATCCAAGAAACTTGATAAACCAGATGGTAGGCAGAAGGGACAAAAGGGAGAAACTTCTGCAATAAAAACAGGAAAGAGAGGCAATATAAGAGATTACAGAAGACAAAAGGAAGAAGTTCTTCGAACACTCAGTTATCTTAATCCACTGCAGTCATCTCAAGCCAGTGTCTTGATAGAACAGCTAAGGAATGAGACATATGAGTGTATGGTTTGCTGTGAACGGATTCGATGTAGTGCTGCTGTGTGGAACTGTTGCAGTTGTTATCATTTGTTTCACATGGGCTGTGTGAGAAAATGGGCAAAATCCTCTGTGGCTATACCTCCAGAAGGTATATCAAAAATTAAATATGATAGGAATATCAGTTATGAAAGTACATTGTACCACCTACACTGATCTTGTGGCCATCTAAACTTTAACCTTCACTATAAACGTGTTGAAAAATATTGATTGACTCTGGATCATACTGAACCAATACTGATTAAATTTATCAAAGTTCAAGCTTAAGGGAATACTGTAAACACCAGCTGATGAGCCATATGCACAGATAACAAGCACCCCAAGATTAGATACTCAAATTTTTGAATAAGGCTTTTGAAAAGAAATCTTAAGAAATCACAACTAGTATGTCAACAGGTGCATACACATCAGATGTGCCTATGGTACCAGTTTGTGAAGTCCCTCTATCGTTGAGCTGTACCATGTATGTGAGTGTTACACCAACTAAATTTTGGCATGCAGTTTTTGTTTGGTTTTGCTTTTTTTTGTGAGCATAGTTTTGGAACCAATTTATGTTTTTATTAGCTTTCTCGGGTCTTTTCTTGAACCATGTACAAAATGTTGAAACAGTTTGCCTTAATTATCCTTTGAACATTACCATGTTACTGCACTTGAAAATACTGCAGTACTACACCATTCATTACCTATTACATTAAGTCCTTTAGAATTGACTCTATTATTCTATTTAACTTAACTTGAGGTGATGAAATTGGTGGTTGGCGATGTCCAGGCTGTCAACATATTACTCAGGGTATTCCAGCTGTCTACAAATGCTTTTGTGGTATGGAGTTTCTGTCATTTTTTGTTTAGTTTTAACACTGCTGAATTATAACAATGGCCTTTAATGGCCCATTTTTTTCATCATGTATTTGTCTGAGGCATAGATAACATTTAGTTTGGATCATGTCTGTCAATGAATAGGGAAAGTTACTGATCCTGAGTGGAGACGTCATGAAGGGTTGACACCTCACAGTAAGTATTAGTTTAGTTAATTAATTTCATTCAATTTTTTGTACATCAGGTGTCCCAAATTGTTTTCATTTTCAGAATGAATTGAACTGAAGGAGTCATTAGGAGGGTGGTGTGGTAATGTGTGCTAAGCAAAAACTGAAAAACATTATGATAGAGCCAAAATGACAAGTTAACTTGAATGTCACTTTTCATGATGAATGGAGTAACACATTTGGAATTTAACTGCTTATTGTCTTTGTGGTGTACACGCATGAGTGTAATGCTGAAGTAATCCAACAGAAAAGTCATTTATGCCATATTGTAAAATTTATCATTATATAATAGTACTCAGCTGGAAGCTTTGGGGAATAAGCTATCGAAGTTCATTGTGTTTATCACCCAGAGACTGGTTTTCATATCTATTGTTTCATTCTTGGAGTGAGAAACCAGAGTGACTTGTGATAGTTGGTATTCCAACTAACGTGTGTTTTACAGGTTGTGGAGAACTATGTGGAAAACAGAGAGATTCACTTTGCCAACATCACTGTAACCAGTGAGTATTTTGTTTTCAATGAATGTTTTACTGCAGATGTTCAAAAATGTACAGTCAGATGGTGTATGTGTCTAAGTTGTTTATTCTATGGTTATCAAAATAGTTCAAAGAATTGAAGGGGAAGTCATTACATACCATCCAACAAAGCAGAAATTAACCTAAATATGCTTTAATCAATGCAAACTGAACCATGAGGTTGGTAAGATATTTTGTATCCCCACAAGAAAATATGTTTATTTTCAAGAAAAATAATTATCACATTATGAAAAATATTTTAATGGTGTCACAACCTGACAATAGAAATTTTAGGAAATTGTCAAGAATCAATGGCCAAATTTTTAATATACCTATACAGAAAAATTCTTTAAACTGTGCAAATGTGTATGGCTTTTGGGTGAAAAAAGATGCAGATGCTATGGAATGCACTTTTCATGATATTTCTGTCAGTTTTTATCTTTGCTTTCTGCAACTGGGAGATTCAGGAAGGATATGTGATAGCCCATCAAAGATCTAAAACTGGTAAACAGAAATATTGCTGCCAGCAAAAGCTTACTTGTGTGTTCATATAGAGCAGAGGGGTTAAAATTTTCTAGTTGAATGCACCTTAGATTTACAGGGTGAGTTGATTTTGATTGACTGAAAGTCATTATGCATATTCTCCATACTGTTCTCTTTACATTTCCTGAGGTGCTAGGGAGAATTTGTTTAACTGTCAAGCATACAGCAATCATTTCCTTTATACTTGTGATCCTACTGTGTAATTCAAGAGTGATATTGTAAGGAGAAATTAGATGCTAGTTACTCTCTGGTACCAAAGAGTTAAAGCATGTGATTTTGTTAAGCATCCAATTATTCCTATCTACTAGACAATAAAACATACAGCACCAACTGAGGGCTTAGGACTTGTAGGAATGGGCAGATTGAAAATTGCAAAGATTTGTGAACAAAGGAATTGTGATTGGATTCTTAATCACCCATCATTTGCTTAAATTTGAGTAAAGTAACCTAAGTAGTGAGTTACATGGAAATGATAGTCCTTGTTCTTAAAAAAAAAAACACTGATCAGAAAACTTATGAGATTCAAAATTCTCAAGGTGCATTCATGTTCTATTGGATCCTACCTCTGCATGAAGACAAAAAAGAATTTTACTCTCTTGAAAGAAAACCAATACACAAAACAAGCTCATATGACACAGTTAAAGTTATGCAACAAACCAATATGTCAAACATGACAAGACTGGTATGTACCATGGCCTTTAAGGCAATGCTTTTAATAAGATTTGAAGTTGGTGGCTACCTTAGTGAAGCACCTGCTGGAGAATAATATGGAAAACAATCTCTCTCTCATTGACCTGCTAGTTCCATTCAGTATAAACTGGCTTCAAACAGTTTCCCATGTTAAACTTTGGTAAATGATCATTACATATTAGACTCCTTTGAAACAATTACTTTGACTGATTGTTTTAACACCAATCAAAATCTTCCATTTGCTGATATGCAACCCTGCCACAAAGGACATAGGGTCACTGATTACCAAAATTTGAGGAAATTTGTTTTTTGAAACTCAAAAATCTATTTTTGCTGGAAATGTGGTATATGAAGAGACAATATCAATCATTCTTATCAAAACTTGTTTATAAACTTTAATGTAGTAGTTGACTGAAAGAATTCTAAAAGATTTCGAGTTGTTCTCTTGAAAGCTTCCAAAAAGTAACAGCTCCAGAATGTTGGTAACCATCCAACATCACATAATATGAAATACTTACAACAGGAAGTTTACAAAAGCAATACAAGATGATATTCCTGTGTGTATCAAATTTCTGTATGCACATGTTGTCAAATTCTGATGCTATGATCCAAACCTTTTTGTCTAGCCAAACCAGATTCTATTGTTTCCACTCATACATCACTCTGACTCATAGTTGCTTAAAGTATTTGCTTAGTAATACCATGATCTTTGTTAACAGAGTCGTCTTCTGCTTGTAAGTTGAAACAAACCTCAGTCTCTGGCTGCTGAAAAACACAGAAGGAATTTTTTGTAATTGCAAGTTATGTGGTTTTTTTTTACTGGGTGAAATAAAAGATATGCAGTGCCCAGTGAATTCCATTAGTTTTATCTGTTGGGAAAAGGCCATGAGTGTTCTCATCTGCAGAGGTGTTTAAGCATTTATGCAGTCAGCCACCAAATGTTTGCATAAGATAACTGAATTAAATCAATAAGGCAGTGAACTCTAACTGTTGCAATGAAAAGTCACATACTTTCATGTTCTGGCTTACCAGTAACCATAAGAACATGGTCTTCTCTGTCTTTAACAGGAAATTCAGCTTGGTTTTTGATAAAAGATTTAAAGCGTAGGGTTCAAAAGCTGTATTTGTTAAGCCTTGCTTAAGTGTTTTTTATGCAAGCGTAACATCTTTACAAAAAAGTTCCAAATTTGAGGTATGTGTGCTATTAACAAGCACACTATTTTTTTAATTAACAACTTTGGTTTCAAGTTTATTTATTAACTAGTTTACTAACTAGCAGTTGAGAGGAAATGCTGTTGTTTTACTAGTCCAGGACTATTTGATAATTTTAGTTTAGCAAAAGTTGTTTAAAAATTATTCTGATATTCTTCAGATTTTAAAAGATGTCCTGTCAAGTTAGTAGGACTCCCAAGAAACAGGCTTTTAGACTAACTTTGTAACTGTTGATTTGATTGCAGGCTCTGTCATCCTGGGCCCTGCCCTTCTTGCCCTGTGATGATAACAAAAGCCTGTTCCTGTGGAAAAACAAAGTATCCTTATGTTCTTGAATGAATTCATTTTATTAAAATCTCTGTATAATAATTTTTCCACACAATTGTAAGAAGGACACCTCTCCAGCAATATACATTTCTGTGCTAAGTGACCTAGAAGTCTAGTCACTTTGTTGGTTCAGTTAGCTCAGACTAATTTATTCATTGGACATCTACTTGCAAACCAGGTGTGCCTTGTTATGCAGCCATATGAAAATTTGACATCCTGGATTGTTGATATGGTACCAGAATAATTTTAGAATGTTCCTGTAATTCTTTAACAATACAACAGGAAGCGCATTAGGTGTGGTCAGGCAACTGTCATATTGTGTGACCAAGTTTGCAACAAAATTCTCAACTGTCTCACCCACAAGTGTTCAAGAATTTGTCACCAAGGTAACTGGTCATGGTGGGATTTAGTCAGAGTCAATGTCCATTGAAAGCAGCTCAACACAGCCTTTAAGAAAAACTTTCAGAAAGTATTCTTTACATTCATTTTGAAAGTTTCAGTCTCAGAATATTTTTTATGTCCAGTGCTTTTTAAATATATTTCTAGAAAGTTACATGAAAAAGAGGTATTGAAAATGGTAACCGTTTTAGTACATTATGTTTGTCTTATTAATAAGGAATGCCATTAGTTGAAAGAATTCTACCCCACTCCACAGAGGTTCCCAAAATTTTTGGCCCAAATAGGAGCCCTGATAGCAGCAAGGATAGGATGCAAAGCTTTGAGTGGTGTTAAAGAATAGAAACACTGTGAACTAAGATGAGGCAGTCAAGGGCTTTAAGATATTTTTTTGATGGCCTTAAGAATTGTGTGATTTTATCACACTTAAGAATTGTTAGTATAATGGCAGCCTGTCTCAAATGTATGGTATGTTTAATAATCTTTATTGTAGGTCCCTGTGGAGACTGTAAAATCCTTGTACAACAAGGTAAGTAGTAAAGGTAACATTGAGGAAAGTTACAAAATTTATGCTAAAGGGGATTCCTCAGAAAAAAGTTTTAGAATACATTTTTTTAAACTTTCCTTATGGGTATATGCCTACCAATGTCTGTGTTGAAGAAGACATTTTAAAAGGTAGGTCACCAAGCTTTTTTAAGAGATATGATGGGCCAAACTTACACCATTTATGCCTGTACTGGCACTAATTGTTTGCTTTACTTTATTGGTTCACATCTAACATTTTGCCTAAGCAGGAAGCAAGGGTTTTTAAAGTTACATTGAAGAAAATTGATAGATTGAAAGTCTTGAGTTATGGAAAATTTCGTATATAATTTGTGGTAAAATCACACAATTTTCTACAACCTAATTTGCATCATCAAGAAATTGGCTTGGTGAATACTTTTAGCTGTATCCTTTTTTCCCTTTGATGAATTTTTTTTTATTATTTCTCCAATTCAATGGGGATAATTTGTACACTTGAATTATGCCATAAAAATTATAGGTCACCATGCTCATTTAAGAGCTAAAAACCATTGCACCTCTTTCACTGGTCCATAGATTGAAAAAAAGGACCATGGTCTAGCAAAATTGCATTCTAATGCCCTCCCATTATTGAATGATTCTTTCTGTGATCAACAAATGTTGTAAAATTTAGCAGAGCTTCTGGTGCTTCTGTTGGATTTTTCTCTTGCAAGCATCATTCTATGATGCTTGCATCTTCATTAAAATATGTGTACTTCACTGGAAAGACTTAGTGCTTCCAGTTCAAATGCCACACTCCATTATAAGATTATTGGTCAAATGACCTGGGAGAGGGAAGTTGTAGCTTCAAATTGATTGGCGCATAAGTTATGGTTATAATTTTATTATTATTATCTATATTGCTATCATTGTTTTTGTTGTTATCAACAGTGATATCACTATTATTATCTATTCCTGCTCTTTCAATGCTTCTGACATTACCAGTTTTTTTTTGTTCTCCCATAAAAGTTTGTTATTGTGGAAAACAACACCGGGAGGTGTTTTGTGGAGCAGGTAAGGATTGTAGTGAAGACTTCTTTGTTATTACTTTTGCATTACTTTAAAGGGTATGTAAGCTCCAGTCTCAGCCAAATAAATCTACATGATTAAAACCATGGATAAAACTTAAAACTTGTGCATTTTGATGAGTACCCTAGATTAACCTAATGTTGGTAACAACATGTTTTGTTAAATGTGCTGAAATGCAACTATGAATGCTGTCATTCAGAAACATCTCAGCAACCTGACTGGCACTTGTCAAACCACAATGTTTGGTCAATAAATGGCTGCAATAGAATAATTTTTTGGGTCAAGAATGCCTCTTGTGAAGCTCCTACATGTAATTGCTTGAACAGATTGCTTAGAGAAGGTAAAAAGAGGAGAGTGACATAAATTTTTTAGATCACTGGTAAGCAGCCAGGTTGTTCAGCATGATTATAAAATGGTGGAATCTCTAGTTGAATTTCAAATGCATTGGAGAACAATTTTCAAAAGGTTTGGTTTCTCCTTAAAATTTCAATTTCATGCTTTTCCTGTAAGGTTATTTTTTTTCAAAGTTTTTTCAAGAATTGTTGGTATTTTCTTGTACTGATATTTTTATCAACTTCTTAGGTGTATACACACGTGTATTAAGATCTTTTTTATGACCACCCCACCTGTATGATCACACTGACTGATCTTTGAACTGGGTTGCAACTGCGTTACAGTGCGAACTATGTCACTAAATTTTGTAAAGTTTAACTAAAAACAAGTGACAGTTAAGTGCAGTTTCTAAAATGTTCTTGCTGTCTGAAAAAAAAGGTCTTTAATTTACAAAATAAGGTAAACCAAGAAAAAAAATTACATGGGACCACTGTGTAGTAAAAGAAGACTTAAAATTACATTAGTTAGCTCATGCAATCTAAAGTTTGAGAATTTTAAAAGCAACCTGTGATATGTCCCTCCCCTAACTTTTAGTGTTGAGCAAATCTTAAAATTGTAGGCTCAAAGGGTTAAGGAGTAAAAAGTGGAGTATTAAGAAGAAGTGGAGGGTCATAGGGTTGTGTGATATTCATTTTGTTTTCCAAATGCTTGTGGCTGTTATTTTTGCATTCTGAGGCACCTCTTGGGTGGCCATAGACTGTTAAAAACTGTTAGCTGTCTATATATTAGATAGGTGTTCACCTTGCCTTACCCTTTTCAGCTTTGTGGGATGCATTTTGATTTGTTTGTTATTATACAATAGGTGTACCTGGCAATGAGGATCTGGAAGCAAAATCAGGATGTTTCTCTTGCCAAGACAAGTGCTTAAGGTGAAAATTAAATCATTCATTTCATTTACAACTTGATAGTTCTTATGAAAAGAAGGGAAAATGAAACCTTAAGAAAGAGATTCAAGGGTTAAGTAATCTTGCATACCATCAGCAGGGAAGAGAGTGTTGAACACAGCCATGCCTACAGAGCAGGAGTATGAAGCCTTGTGCTGCTGTTTATAAAGCATGGAAAATTAAAAAAATGTTGTATTTCCTCATTCCAAGCTAAAATTTAGTTCAAGGAATGCTCAATATCAGCATACACAAATACAACTTTTATAAATTGTCATGATCATTCTTCAACAAAATTTAAAAAAAGAGAAAATACTTCTCCTACTTATAGTATTGATGATTGTCTGGATTTCAACTACATAATGCTGCATATCACCTGAAGAAAACTTACAGTAAACAGTTGAAACAACATGATCCATATCAGAAGTGATAAACTTGTAAGACAAACGATTTTGCTTCATATACAAGCTTATTCCCACAATGAATAATCACATCCTTTTTAATCAAGTTGTCACCAACTGCTATAGAGGGAATAAGAAAGAAAGCTGTTGTTTTGCATAAGTTAATTTTGAAAAGTTAAAGATGTATAAATATTTTTCGTATCAATAACAAAATGAATTATTCTCAGTGTAATTTTCTTAAATAGTTTTGTTCATACTATGCTTATACAAGCATCACTCATACTTGTAGGTGGTTGCAGGTAAGTGAATTGTGTGACTCTTCTTTGGACAATGCATTACAGTAACTTGCATTTATTGTCTTCAGAACCTGTAAGATTTAGGCTTTTGTAATAAGCCACAATAACCATGCTGTTTTGTTGCTGTTTTATGAGCATGCTGTATCCCAGATTTTTAACCCCATTTTATTACAAAAATCAATGGTGCAGCCAATGAATGAGTTGCCAGGAAGCAGATCATTGTATTGGCACAAATATTTCTGGGATTGCTTCAGGGCAAACATTGCAACTCACTCACTGTATGGTGAAAGGTTTTCCCAACATCTCAACTATCAGTTTTTTAGGGAGATCGTTGCTTTTTTAGAAGCATAAGTTTTTTTTTAAACAACCTTGAAATATGAAATAAAATCTACTGATTGACTCTTCTCCATCAACAAGGATTATTGTGAAACTGATTGGGTAATAGTCTCAAAATTTAATAAATGAGCTATAAATGACCAAGAAATAACTCAACAAAGCCTTTAAGTTTTTTTAACATGTGTTAAGTCTACGTTCAGAATTTTTCTTGGTTTGGTTATACAAAAGAGCACTATGGTGATACATAAAAGTAATTAAACACCTTCATTGCTTCTTCACAGCTTCTTCATTGTGATCAATAAGAACAAACCAAATTTGATAGGTGGCCTTGGTTGACATGTTGGCCGATATATCGGTCGACTGTCAAGGTACTTATCGACCGACTATCGGTGGACAGTCGACTGACTATTGGTCGATAGTCGACCGATATTTGACCGATACTTGACCGATACTTGACCAATACTTGACCGATACTTGGCGGATACTTGACTGATACTTGACCGATACTTGACCGATACTTGACTGATACTTCACTGGCAGTTTATTGCTACATATCAGCCGATGCATCGGCTGTCAGTCAGTTGATATATCGGTCGACTACCGATCAACTATCGACTGACAATCGACGGACTATCAACCGACTATCAGTTGATAGTCGACCCAAAGTCGACCGATATATCAGTTGACTGTCAGCCGATATGTTGACCAAGGCCACCTATAGTACACATGATCCACCTTTTCTTGTGCAACAATGAGGAGCTTCAAATGGGTTACTTAGGGGTGATGCACAACTGAATATATGTCCATAATTTCTGCTGGAGTTCTTATGATCTTGCTTTTCCTTTCCTAACTCCAAGGAGTAAGAGGAGAAAAAGTTGCTGCTCAAAAACTTCTGGATTTTTCTCAAACAAACTGTCACTTGACCAAGGGATTTCCTTGTGTTTTTCATCACTTATATTATCCTGCCAGAGAGCAACAGCTGGGTGAAAACAATTTACATCTCCACTGACAATGACTTCTCTCTTTTGAGGAAGTATATTTTCAGACATTGTTATTAGTTTATTTGATATGTTAACAAGTATGAAGACAGGCTTTGCATACTCAAGTACAACTGAAAAGACTCCAATGAGTTACTTTGTAGTGATTTGTGGCTGATTTTGTAATATTCAAGACCATTATGTGTTGGTGATTTTACAATGGACCAACCTTATTCAGGAGAGAAGTTTATATGTATAATTTTTAATATATTTTGTGAGAACTGTGACAAAAATTAACACTTCCCTCTTATCAACATAATCTTACCTATTTATGATAAAACTGTGGCAAGAAAAAGTTCTCCAAAATATTTATTTGGATGTCCAAATAACATCTTGCCATATATCTAGCAACTTGCAATTTTTGCTCTGTGGCAATCCCAGAAACTTTGTGCAAACGTAAGGATCTGATTACTGGCAACTCATTCACTTATTGGTGATGTAAATTGTTAGTCTCATGATTGTCTTGTATTATTTAAGGACCCTTGATTGTGGTAACCATAACTGTCAAAATGTTTGTCATATTGGAGTTTGTAAAGAATGTCTGCTGAAGCCATCAATTTTAACAAGTTGTCCATGTGGAAAAACTCCTGTTTTTGATTTGCTTGGTGGTCATGATGTCAGAAAATCCTGCTTAGATCCAGTGCCAACCTGCAAATTGATGTGTGGGAAGGTTCTTCCTTGCAGTCCATCCAAAGGTATTTTGGCAAGACCTTGATTCTTGACAAGATCCATGAGGATTTTCATATTGTGTATTTTAACTAGTTTTGAGTAGTGTTTCATGAAAAAATCTTCAATAGAATTCCTTATTATTTTATTATTTATTAAGTGGCTAAGCTCAAAATGTAGTTTATTTCTTAAGGTGAATGGCTCTATACAGAATTCTTAAAAGTTAACTTGTGCTCTTCACAGTCCTACAACTTTCACATGTGTTGGTACATGGTAAACTGTCACTGCAATAGTTAGCTTTTAACAATTACATCATTAAAGGGAAATTACACCATGAAATTGTATGTAATATACAACTTATTATATAACAATGTTGACTGCTTGTCCTGAATCCCAAGGTACTTGAGAAGACAGTGATACAACAAGAACATAGTTTACAATGTTCTGGTAACATATTAAGATCAACTTGTTTAAAAATTGTTTTCAAATACCCAGTGCTATAAAAGTTTTTCTCCTGTTTCACAGATCTGTCATCTGCGGAAGGCAGAGGAGGCAAAACCACCAAAGAGCACTGCTGTAAAATGCAATGTCATCTAGGTGAGTGTGGTCCTTGTGATGGAAGGACAAAAGTCAAGTGTAGATGTGGTACAAATTCCAAGGTAAGTAACAATCAGCAAAGTAGGTCTTACCTAAACAAACTGAATTATTGCAAATGGTCCTTCCTCTAACAATAGCATGGTATGATTTTGTGAGATATGTCTCTACTGTGGCCACAATGATACCACCTTGAATTAAAATAATAATGTCTCAAATATTTGATTTGGAATTCCTGCAGTATGTTGTAATTATCACAGAATTTAAAATGACCTAATTTCTCCCCTTTTCAAATCTACCAAGTTCTGTTTTCACAAGAGGCTTAAAGGCTTACTAAAGTTCTGTTCAAAGTATCCCTAAATGTTTACATAATGACTGGGATCTCGTACAGATCATTTTCTTGTAATCAGGATAATCAGCAATTGGTGAATGGAGTTTCAAAATGCATGACAGCTTGCTGATGCAGATATAACTCTTGTGACGTTCATTTCATTTGCAAGAAATTTGTCCTCTATACTGAAAGAGAATGTTGTAGAAACTGATGTACTCACTGTGTCTTCTTGACTAAATATATTTTTCCAAATATTTCATCATTAAATTTGTTCTTAATTTACAACTTTGTAGAACCATGTTGGATATAATTACTTTGTTTCAGGTCATACTGATAGTGACTGCAAGAAAAACCAAAAAATGAATGATTTGAAAAATTTTTAATCGAGAAAATAATCAATCCACATTTGTTTGTATGTTGCAGAAGGCAATTTTTCTGGCCAAAACTGTTCTTACTAAAAAAAAAACAGGAGTATTATTATCCATGTCCCCCTGAAATAACCACCTCACTGCAACAGACAATTCTTTTTGTCCCAGGGTGAGTGTTGTGGTGAGGTGCAAGTGTATTTCCAGTGTAACATTCTGGATGTGTTCTTTTTCCTTCCACAGGAGATCCCTTGCTCAGAGATAAACTTTGAAGGTAATTTTATTATGAAAACTGCACACTGTAGACATGCTCAAAGGTTCTGTTTAAGGTATTGCTTAGTTGTCAATTTTTTTTCAAGTACTTTTCAAAACTGATTGAACAAGGTGTCTGAAGTTTGCAACTTGGACCTGAATAATGTCTTAAGTTTATTACTACCAGATATCACCTAAATCTAAATGAATTTTTAACAAAACTAGGTCTTACAAGACTTACTTTCTCCCCTCATGTCCAAAAAAAAAAGAATATACCTGTGACCAACGCTGTAACAAGAAAAGACAATGTGGACGACACAGGTGTAACAAGAAATGCTGTGGGGTAAGTGCTTGGGATAATTCTAAAGGATAGTGGTTCACTATTGTACTCATTTCAGCAACAAATAGTCAATTTTTCTGTGAGATTTTACTAAGCAACCTGACAAGTTTTTCGCAATTTATGTCTCTAATTAAATTGCTAGCTCAACAGTCTCTGTTATGTATAACACATAATACCCAACTTAAACTGTTCCCCTAGAAAAAGTATTTTGTGCTTAGCTGGTAGTGTTTTTGGGCACTTGATGGACTTGAAGGCAAGAAAGGGAAAAAAAAGGTTCAAGTTTGCAGTTTTCAATTCCTATACCTTTTGTGACTCTACCACTTATTTGTGTAGCCCTTTTGATCAAATGTCCCTCAGCTCTGCAGACTATGGTAAGGAGGATCATATCATTCAGTAAAGTGTTTATTTTATCATAATTTTTGTTTTGTGTTATGACAGACAGACATGATTATTTGGAGTGAATCATTAAATGTATTTCAGTATTTTACAAATGAGTACAAGTGAATGCCATGCACTGTCTCATGTAGGTATGTGTTTTCTTAAACACCATTTGCATTAACTTGGCTGTGTTCTTATTCCTTAAGGATGTGGAACACAAGTGTGAGTTTATTTGTGGTAAAAAGCTGCAATGTGGTCTTCATCAATGCCCAGAACCTTGCCACCCTGCTGGTTATTGTCCACCTTGCTTGATGTCAGGTAGCAGTCTTCTTACCTCATGAGTTTGTGTTACCCCGGCCTTGTTACTGTACAAAAAAAAAACAACAATCATTTTTGTCAACAGAGGACATCAGTTAGAAAAAATTTGCCATATTTGTAAAACTGGCACATCTGCATATTAAAAAAGACAACTCAATAGACCAATGGGGGATAATGTTATCCAATGGAAAAATCACTATCTACCGGCTAGAGATTTATCCAGAGGATAGCATGCTCCACCCTTCGGACAACTATGGCCAATAGGAAATGCTACTTAAGATCTAAACTGTTGATAGTACAAAGCGATTGTCCAATCAATGACTTACCCAATAGTCAGTGATGTTTCAACAACCTTACCAGAATTCACCTTCAGAGGTAGAACAGGATAACCTGCAATTCAGTAATTCAGCTTGAATGTAGAATTTTGTGATTTTAACAGCTCTTCAGGCAGATATTTAAAGAACTCTACCATTCTTGGTGTGTGCAATCATTGAACATTAGACAGGGAAGTGTAAATAAGCAAGGTTTTGGATTGTCTTATGTGTATTACCTCTTTCACCCTTTGTGTGTAGAAATTGGAATCACATTGAGTAAACTTCACTTTGTTCCAGAGCAAGTGGTGTTCCAACATGCTGAAACAGTGGAGGTCTATTTTTTTGCAAGTAGTTTATCCCTGTCATGCTCTTTGATTCTCTCTTTTCCAATCTTGTCAATGTAGACCTTGCTGCACTCACAGAGCATCCTTTAAACCAAGTATCCTTTGGTCACCTATTTGGTGTGATAGTAGCATGGTCTTTGACTAAAAAACTGCTTTGAAAGTTGAAAGTGTTTCTTACTATGTGATGTTGCCATCATTCTGGATTTGTGACTTGTTGGAAGCTTTCAAGCAAACAACTCAATATCTTTTAGAGTTCTTTCAGTTGGAAAACGTAGTTGCTGTAGACAGTTCCAAATTTGTTCGGAAAGACCTTTGACATAGGGCAGGACTGGGGTGGATCTCAACTCAGTGGAAGGTTCAATGCTGTGGTAGGTGTCTTGGCTATGTTACCCTCTGCATGAAAGAGGAAGGATAACCGTTGGAAACAACATATGATGACAGATGTTTCTTCTCCATAAAGATAATGGAGGGTTTTGATTGGAGACATTTAGCACGCTCGTAGATACTTGATAATACTGTGCTTTACTGATTGTGGATGGTATGAGTTATGGGCTTAGTAGTAGTAAGTATGTTATCTTCCTGTTTATGCCAGTGGGTAGCCATCCATCAGGTTCTCTTTTAACTGCATTGTGAAGGAAGGTGGCTCTGTTGCTGTTTTCTTTTTCCATAGTGAAGAAAATGGAAGGCTGTCAGTTTAAAATCTGTAGGAAGCTTTCTATGCTCTCACATGCCAAGATGATAAAGGTGTTGTCTTTGTAGTGCTTCCAAATCCTGGGGGGATGATGTTACTGCTTGTTCTTCAAACCTCTTCATATAGAGGATAGCAACAACAGTGGAAACCAGACCCCTATGACTGTGCCTTCTGTCTGTTTATAAATTGATCCATTGTACTGGAAGTACATACATATCAATACAAACTTGAGGAGATCCATGATCTAAGTGTTGTTATGCAGTTGGGTAAAATATAATCATTTTCAAGTTCCTGCAGAGCTGCTTGTACAACTGTGTTGATTGGAATATTTGTAAACAATCATTCTATGTCAAAGGCAGTGTTTTCAATGACCCACCACCCACCAGAGCTCTGGAGGGTATTCTATTGGGAATCCTTGGGTGTACTTTGCCACATCCAAGTCAAATTTACAGAACAGAAAAATAACAAAATAATGTAGAAAGTAATAGTCAATTTAGTATTAGAGCATTCATCTGATTTGTTTTTCAATTTCTGTGGTCTTTGACTTTTAGATTTATTCTTGTACTCGCACTTTTCTTTTTCTGTTTATTTGGCGTGTTCTACATAAATCCAGATGTACACATCATCAGTTACGTAAGATAATTTTCAAACGACTTTGTGCTGAACTAAAATCATCAAATATTTTTGAACAATAAAACAACGGCAATTCTTCCTCTTTCCATTTTAGTAAATGAACTTGAAACCAAAGTTGTTAAAATAGCGCGCTTGTTGATAGCACACGCAAATCAACTTGTTTGCAAAGATCTTACATTTGCATAAAAATTGCTTAATGAAAAACAGCTATTGATCCCTTATCATCTAGTGAAGAAAACCATGATCTTATGGTTACTGGTTAGCCAGAACATGAGTGAACAAATGACTTTTCATGATTTTTGTGAAGCAGTTAGCAGCTTGACAGAATTCACTGTCATATATCTTTTATTTCACCCAGTAAAAGGAAAAAAAAACAAAGACAAAACTTGCAATCACAAGAAACGTGTTCTGTGTTTCCAGGCGGGTGGGAGACTGGAGGTTTGTTTCAAATTACAAGCAGAAGACTCTGTTATCAAAGGTCATAGCGTAACTATGCAAATACTTTGAGCAACTGCCACTCAGAGTGATGTACAAGTAGAAAAATAGAAAAGAAGCTGGCATGGCTAGGCAAAGGAGGGTCTGGAACATTGGGTAGAAAATGGAGAACAAGTTTGGACAGAAATTTGATGCACACAGGATATCGTCTTGGGTTGTTTTGATCAACTGCCTGTTGAAAGTGTTTTGTATCATGCGATGTTGGAAGGCTACCACCATTCTGGATATGTGACTTTTTGGAACCTTTCAAGCAAACAACCCAAGATCTTTTAGAGTTCTTTTAGTCAACTTCTACCTTATTACATAAGTTTTGATAAAAATGATTGATATTGTCTCATCGTATACCACATTTCCAGCAGAAAAAGATTTTGAGTTTCCAAGATATTTATACTGACTCAGATTTTGGTAACCAGTAACCATATGTCCTCTTAGAGAGGACTTAAGTGTGCAACTCTGGCAGAAAGTTTGCATGTCAACAAAAAGAAGGTTTTGATTGTCCAATGTTTAATGTCCATTTACCAAAGTTTAACACAAAAAATGCCATTTGAAGCCAGTTTTTACTGAATGGAGCTAATGGGTTATTGAGAGGGGAATTTTTTCATATTATTCTCTTGCAAGTGCCTTACTGAGGTAGCCACTGACTTCAAATCTTATTGAAAGCACTGCAAAGGACTCCATGATCTTGCTTTCTTGAGTCGTTTCACCACTGATGATAGGCACAAAGTGGGCTGGGTTGAGCACTGAAAAGTCTGAGTTACCTGTTAGCAGAAATAAGAGGTTAGCTGAATGAGCAGACAAACAGTATACTGCCTTGATTTATCTTTGGTAAACCATCTTGGTCTGATAGGTGTGAACATTTAAGACTACATTAGGAAGACTGCATCATTTCCTTCATGATGTATAGGTCACACATACTTATTTGATGTCATCACCTCAAGAAGAGAGGCAGTATGCAGTCAAACATTGCAATCCACTTCCGTAGTGGCCTCATTTATGAGACAAACAATGACATTTCTCTCTTGAAAGTCTTTGGATGTGTACAGAAGCTGTGGGAATTGGGTCCTTGTTGCAGGAAGTGTGTGTCTAAATGCTGAAAATTGACCAATAACAAACGACTCTATCATTGTGAGCGAAGATAAACAAGTTTACAATACCATGAACACTTTCTTACATTTTCATGATAACAAACCTTTTCAACTCTTTATGGTGGCCAATTTACTTAATCAACTCTATTGATAATGTCAAATTACCCTTTCAATAAGATACATAACTAAAAATTTGCTAGCTGACTTTTATTAAGTTTCTGAAACTCTAAGTCCCTTTTTTCAGGCTTTGACGAATTAAAATGTTATTGTGGAGCTACAGTTTTGTACCCACCAATCCCATGTGGAACTACACCTCCTGAGTGTGACAAGCCTTGCTCAAGGATTCATACTTGTCACCATCCAGGTATGATAGCTATTCACATATATAGTTTGCAGGTTGAAGGTTATTTCACCCGAAAGCGTTCTTTATCTCATTGGCAAAGAATTTTATACACACTTTCCCTTCCCACAGTTTATTTTAGAATCACAAAAGGGCTTAAACACAAGCAATAGTTCAGAGTGCTACTGTTGTATATACTCTATGGTATGGTAGACCTTTCAAAACAAATTATTTTGAATACATGCAAATAACAGAGAAGGAGGCAAGCACGACAACAGTTGAATTAAACAAGAAGGAGAGTGGTGATGTTAATTGGAAACTGTAAGCAAAAGGCAAGTACCTAAGTTGCCCAAGTATTGTAGTCATAAATGAAATGAAAATCAAGAGTGTTGTCTGTAATATACTTTTATTTTGATCATTAGTGAATCATACATGCCACAGTGAAGAATCGTGCCCTCCTTGCACAATATTGACCAAGAAAAAATGTATGGGAGACCATGAGGTACTGTTGGCCTGTATGTTCACAATACCAAAGCTTCCTGTTGTGGTTTGTTGGCATAATGCTTGAGAATTACTTGTATAAGACCCAATCTTATTGAGGGTTGATTTCAAAATGACGCAAGTTGTCCAGACTTGTAGCCAGGATGCAACAATTAAATAAACAAAAAATTTATTCAGTGATCATGAGAGTGGGTTAAAGAAAATTTTGGAGTCTCCCTCCTGGTTTAAAACCTCAGACCTTCAAATCGGAGTGCTAATGCTCTTCCACTGAGCAACAGAACTCAGACAGTTAAGCCACATACTAGGGATGGGATGTGAGACAAGTGTCTTACATGCTGCTAGGATCAGGAAGTACGACCAATTTAATCAGTCGGGCCATTTTTACAAGGTAAACCATTTTACCCAGTAAGGTCAGTTTATAACCATTTTATTTAGACCTTGTTAAGCAGTTGGACCATTTTAAGGTGGCGCTGGAGGTTAATTTGGGTTAATTTGGCCATCTTTTGCTCCGTTTTGAAAAATTTCAAGGGGTCTAAGACTAACCAAAATAACCCAAGTAAGTCAGTTTTAACCAGTTAGGATCAATTTAATTTGTTTCACCATGTTAACTGGTTGCATCATTTTAACGAGTTGGACCATTTTCTCTGGTTACACCATTTACTACGAGTTGGACCATTTTATCTTGTTAGATCATTTTCTCTAGTTAGACCATTTAAACCAAATTAAACATTTTAACCAGTTAGACCATATCTTCTGGTTAGGTCGTTTTAACAAGTTGAACCTTTTGAATTGCTCTAACTATTTTCACCAGTGGTATCATTTTAACAAGTTAGACTATTTTCTCTAGTTAGACCATTTTATCCAGTTGGACCATTTTAATCAGCTGGATATTTATAACAAGTTGAACCATTTGTTTTGTAAATTAGACCATTTGAATTGGTTGGACCTTTCTATGTAGTTAGACAATTTTCACTGGTATGACCATTTTATTTAGTAAGACCATTTTAAGTGTTTTGAGTATTTTATTAAGTTGTCATTCTATCCGGATGGACTATTTTCTCTAATTAGGCCATTTTTACCAGTTGAACTATTTTCTCTAATTAGACAATTTTCTCTAATATGACCCTTTTCATATGTTCCACCCTTCTATCTTGTTTCACCATTTTATAAAAATACCCCATTTTATCTTATTACCCTACTTTAACCAACTGGACCATTCTAACAAGTTGAATCTTTTTTCCTAGTCCGGCCAGTGTAAATAGTTCAACCAATTACCCTAGTTAGAGCATTTAAGTGGCTGGACCATTCTATCTAGTAAGACCATTTCTATTGTTTGAACTGATTTATTCTGTTCGACCACTTTAACGGGTTTTCCGTTTCCATTTTCCATAATTGGACCATTTGTGCCAGTTGGACCATTTCACTGGTATGACCATTTTTATTAGTAAGACCATTTAAAGCGGTTTGAATACTTATTTAGTTAGGTCATTTTAACCAGCTGGACCATTTTCTCTATTTCGACAATTTCTACCGGTTGAACCACTTTCTCGCCCTAGACTATTTTCACTAGTTCCACTATTTTTCTAGTTTCACCATTTCAACCCCTTGGATCAATCTATTTAGATGGACCATTTTAAGTACTTAGACCATTTTATCTAGTCAGACGATTATCACCAATTGGACTGTCTTAGGCAATACACCCATTTACCTAGTTAAACCATTGTAAACGGTTGGACCATTTTTAATTTTTTTTATAAAAAAGAAAAATAATCCTTTGTTAGCATGAAGAGTGGTATGTTGCTAGCACCAATCAGATCGCCGCATTTGGGTATTTATCTCTCACCAATCAGATTGCCGCATAAGGGTATGTATCTCGCACCAATCATATCACAGTATTTGGATATCTTGCACCAATCACAACGTTTAGGGCATGTTTCTCGCATCAATCATATCACAGCTTCCTTGTAAAAGATGTCATGGAATCAGGAGGCTGTACACAAAGAATGACATACACCCCAAATTTGGGCTTATTTTGATAAGTGTAATGGTTTGTGGCCTTCGCGAGAGCCTCGTCGATTAAGGTCGATATTTTTCTGGATATGAAAGGTTCGCATTTAACCTGTTTGTATCATTTTTAGTTAAAACGTGTTTTTTTGCTCCTTTACTCACAGCTCGCGCGCCAAACAACCATTTTATCTAGTACGACGATTTTTAGCAGTTTGACCATTTTATTTACTCAGGTCATTTTAACCATAGTAACCAGGTTGACCAATTTCTCTAGATAGACTACTTCTACCCTGCAACCATTTTCTCTACTTCGACCATTTAAACTAAGAAGTTAGTTTCATTTCAACAGTTGGAGTGTTTTGCCTAGTAAAACCATTTTAACCGGTTGGTCCATTTTAATCACATGTCATTAGTTGGAACATTTAGTTGGACTAGTTAGACCTAGTTAGATCATTGGTGTCAGTTGGACCATTTTATCTGGGTACACCATCTTAATCAATTGCACTAATTTGTCTAATTGACCATTTGAAGTGGTTCGGCCATTTTTTCTAGTTCAACCATTTTAACCAGTTGCACCATTTTATCTTGTTAGTTAGTTCACTAATTTGGTCGACAATGTCAAAAGAGATATGCATTTGTTGATAATTAAGGCATGATGGTAGATTTGGGTAGATCATGCAATTGCTAATGCTGAAGGTCTCAGGTTTGAATCCTCATGGGGGACTGATGAATGAATAACATGTTTCTGCCACTGGCAACCAACCTTCTCCCTGGAAGTTTTCTGCACAATTTCAGAACTAAAACAGTTTGCTGTGGATCGTTACTGTCCATGTCCTTATTATAAAAAAGCAGTAAGAATGAGCAAAATGTTAGAACTACCATCCCTACGCGCTGTCAAATATACAACTGGTGTTAATTGAATATCAAAGTAAAGTGATTTCGGTCTTTACACAGTTGCATTAATTTGCTCGACTTATTGAGTGTTTTTCCCTCTCCGAGTTTGGTTTAGGTTTTTTCATAGCAATGGAAAGATAGTGCATTCACTAATGGAAGCAGATAACATGGAGGAAATCCTTTATCATTCGATGTCATGAATTTGATCTGGTTTCTTTAAGGTTCGACACAACATTCCGTGCCATGTAAATGATGTCTCATGTGGAAAGGAGTGTGGAAAACCACTGAATTGTGGACACAAATGTCTTAAAATTTGTCATAGGGTAATTCAATGAAGAATTTATTTGTTTTCGAGATCAAATTTTCCAAACCAACAACATATCGTCTGTTTGTGTATCAATTTTGTGTGGACAGTTGATATACCTGATATACTTGTACCATGGACTACAGAGAATCTTAATCTGATCGCATGTAACTTAGTGAAGAAATTAATAATAATTATAGGGTTTCCATGGGACTTCTGTTTGGCGCCTTACTATTGCAGAGCCAATTGGTAACGTCGTAACGTGTAGAATTGTCTGATACCAGTTTAACAAAATCGTTTTTATGTATAGATCAACTACTTTTTTTCCAAAGAGGGATAACGGAACATCAATCCCAGGTTGCTTGAAGTTTTTTGTTAAAGATTTGTTGTGTTCATTCAGCTTCCATGTCTGAGTGACGATGAGCCATGTTTACAACCCTGCGAGTTTCCACGTAAGGATTGTGGTCACCCATGTGCAGCAACCTGCCATTCTGGCAAGCAATGCCCAGCAATACCATGCAAAGTGAAGGTATGTTTCGTTAAGTTCCTGTTCAAATTAAAAACTACGTTCCAATGAAGGTTCAAGTGTGATAACGAGCTAAATGGCTCATTCTGTTGGTGTATATCTCGGTTTCTGTAACAGAAGTCAGCTGAAAAATTTGTTAGTCAATCAAAAGCCGACTCCCCCCTTTCCCCCTCAATACCAGCACTCTATCAGGTAGACATTATCATGTTGGATTTCCTGTTTTATTGTTGTTTAATGTAGCTTTTTTTTTGTGGAAGCAACTGAGGATGGTGTTCATACAGGTTTTTTAAGAGGAAAGATTCTTTTCAGGTCACAGTAAAATGCAAATGTGGGAGACGTTCAGAAAAGTTACCCTGTCTTCAAGGGGGCGAAAAGACGGCTGTTACTCAAGCATATCAGCGGTAAGGTTAATTACAGTGCTTGAAGCTAGTGTATCATAAGCAACTACAACGTCAGAGGTACTTTGTATGATCCGTGATTTTCTTTCGATTTACTTTTAAATCTAACTCCTTACTTTGAAATCGCAGTTAAAGTGGAATACAATTTCCATGGTGAAATTGAAAGGAACTTAAGTTGCTGTTCCTCATTATTATTTGCTGATTTTTTTTTTTTGTATTAGTAGGTAGCCTGGGGATTGAAAAATTGATATGTATCTAATTTGTTTGTAATTTGAAAGAGGAAAGTAATTTTTTTTTAAATTTTCATAACAATAACTAAATCCTACCACAGTGCTAACCAGGAGAGGGTGGGTGTGTTTGTATTGTAGCCTGGCCACGGAGACACTTGCAACCAAGATGAAAGATTTACAAAGTGGCCAGTGTATAGATATCAGCAGCATGATGAAAGTGGATGATAAGAAGTTACGAGAGTAAGCTCAGTTTCAACAAGTTTCTTCATCTTAAAAATTTTAGCAGTTGGGTTCCTTGTACTCGCCACTATATTTTAGTGGCATTTACAGGTCACTCGGCGTATCGTTTTACAGTCGTTTCGCTTCTATTACATGTGATTCGCGTCAATTCAACAGTATTTTTGAAACAAAAAAAATATATGCTTAAAAATATATCAAAAAAATTATAAATCATAGGTAAATGCGTCGAAACTTTCTGTCGTGTCTGAACGTATCCAACATTCCATGGTCACAGGCCTCCCAATCTCACGTCTCCAAAAAGTGAAAAAGTGTCTTTTCTTGCATGAAGGCTTCACACTTTGTGTGAGTCCCAACGTGACCGCCCAGATGACGCGGTGTTAGGTTACGGAGATATCGTTGATAATTTATATAGCTAGTAAGACGTTGTAAGGGGAATAAGTCATCGTCGGTTTAGAGCGCTAAATTATGCAAATATTGACATTATAATTTAAGCTGAACAAAACTAATTCACATCTAGTGTGTCCCATATAGTCTTACCGATCCTTGGCGTGAAGCAGAGGCTACACACCAGAATTTCGAGCCTTATCCGGTCCGAGGTGGTTTGTGTCCAGACATTTCTCTAGGGTCTATTCTTTTCCTCCTCAGAGAAATTACTTTCTTTGAGAGTACGCTCAATTCCTCAACGGTTCTACGCTTATCCTAACACCGCGAGGGTAACGTTCAGACTCGTTTGAAGCCTTCATTAATGAACAGATCATTATTTTTCGCCTTTCTCGAAACGTGATCTTGGGCCGGCAATGCCGCGATAGGATGAACACGAAAGGTACCCAGCCATCCCCACCTGAGTACCTAGCCACCATCACATACAGTTTATTGATCTTAAGTATATGTGACACGTGTAAAATTAAGGGTATCTCAAATAATTCTGTTAAATAACTGCTGCACCCGAGAGAAGTTCACTTTTCACACACTGAACCTGTTGAAAAAATACTCCCAAAAAAGGCTCCCTTGAGAGCCACCAAGACAAAAGAGTCCTGTAGAAGCAACCTTTGCAATATGTCATAACCAGCCTCAACTGTATTTTAGATTACCTAAATGAGTTCATTTGTTATTGTTAATGACGTTGTCCATTTCCACAAGCAATTTGGAAACAACGTCGATGGTTGTTGTGGGAAAAATTTTTTTTGAAGAAAGATTCAGTTTATTCATTAGAAAACTCGTAAGAATAATTAGTCTTCTCCATAAAGAAAAAAAGAAAAAACTCAGGAACACCTTTTTACAATTCAGACTTGAATGAAAACGACTGAATGTTTTGGCGGGGTGACTTCTGAACTTGTGATTTGCTTCGAAACAATCTATTATCTGTAGAAAATCTCTTCGGAAATCCTTTTTATTTTATTGTTGTGGTGCATTAGTGGGTACGTTCCTTGGGAATTTTAATTAACTTAAGAGACTGCAATGTTGTGTCAACATATTCTTAACTTCAGCTGAAAAGAAAAGTTCGAGAAAATACTGGGTAAAGTAAGTTGTGTAAAATGTCCTAGTCCAAATCGGTGTTGATTCGTACACACCAAATTAAAATCAGGGAATGGTTGTTGAGTGTATCAGTTGACTCACAACTGCATGAATTTTTATGAAGTAGTAAGGGAATTAATTATAATAGACATTGACAAGGCCAACGATGGAGGGAAGTCTCCACTGGTACCTAATATTTCCTGCAAGGATTCTAGAGAATTAGTTGTAGATCTCAGTATATTGGCTGTCCCGTTTGTATTTTCCTCAGGCTTGAGTGTAACAGTGATTGTCATGTACACGAACGAAACAGGTATTTAATTGTTTTTCAAGACCCCCTTTGGAAAAGAATTTACTCAGACGTCTTGTCTTAAAGTATTTGCGATTTGTACTGTACTGCGTAACTTGGTGTCATGTCTGGGATTCGACAACACACGAAACGTTCGAGATGTTTTGATGGGCTACAGGTTACACTGCAACTTGAAAACAGATCGTTAGCATTGCGTCAGTGCTGAATGATTGCTGATCACAATCTTTTCAAGTTTGAATGTTTTACAGTTTTTGTCAGTTGTATTATTATTATTATTACTATTATTATTATTATTATTATTATTATTGTAAGTAGTAGTAGTAGTAGTAGTAGTAGTAGTAGTAGTAGTAGTAGTAGTAGTAGTAGTAGTAGTAGTGGTAGTGGTAGTGGTAGTGGTAGTGGTAGTGGTAGTGGTAGTGGTAGTGGTAGTGGTAATGGTAGTGGTAGTGGTAGTGGTAGTGGTAGTGGTAGTGGTAGTGGTAGTGGTAGTGGTAGTGGTAGTGGTAGTGGTAGTGGTAGTGGTAGTGGTAGTGGTAGTGGTAGTGGTAGTGGTAGTGGTAGTGGTAGTGGTAGTGGTAGTGGTAGTGGTAGTGGTAGTGGTAGTGGTAGTGGTAGTGGTAGTGGTAGTGGTAGTGGAGTGGTAGTGGTAGTGGTAGTGGTAGTGGTAGTAGTAGTAGTAGTAGTAGTAGTAGTATCACATGATTTCCGGACGATTTAGATAATCTGTGATGCAACAAAACGCTTTACAGTCACTCGGCTCTGTCACGCTCAGTAATCCAGCAATTACTTGGTATGGCTTTTTTATCTTTTCAACAGACGGTTGGCCGAAGCACTTAACATTGAAAATGCTGATTTGTCCCAAGAGGTCTCATTTCGCTTTTCACCATTCCTTTGGACGGAAGCCAAGTAAGTGACAATGAATCTTGACAGGAGTTTGCCCTGATATGACTAATTTTAGGTCAGTGGGAAATTCTTTTAAAAGAAGAAGCTCTCGACACAATCCTTATTTAGTTAGAGAAATTCGTGATAATCAAAATTGACAATGATCCGCCGTTACCACTTTATATTTCGAAACTAAGGTATACCGAACCAAAGGCATACAAACAAGGGTTTGTGCAACTTTTAGTCCGTATTTTCCGTTACTTTGACCAGAATGAACGTTTAGTTCCTCTTACTAGTCTAGGTAGAGGACCAAACCGAATTTTTCCCTTTATTATGCTATGGCCTTGTTAGGATGTGCGTGGCAATCAATCGGGAGAAAAACAAATGCTTTTTTTCCCTTACATTTCTACTGTGTGTATGACTGTTTATTGGAAACGATTTTGTGTCACGCAGAGCACTTTCAGCGACTCTTCTACCTGAAAAACATAACGAGTTTGTCGTTTAGTCCTTAGCTCGTTTTAATAGACTATTTCAGAGGAAAGAAGGGGTTTAGAGAATCGTTTGCTCGAACGTTTAAGAACAATTGGCGATGTATAATGGGAGGCTTTGGCGTCAGACCTGTTTTAGATTTATTGTATGAGCCACGAAACTGACCAATCATACTGTGCGTATTTAAGTATTTGAACATACATTTCAACCCACCCTTTCGACGCCCTTGTTTATATGTAACTAGGTTGGTGGGGTTTTCATAGTGTTTGCAGTTCTCTGTTTGGTGTCAGTGTACTCACATACTACCCACATGTTCCCTACTCGTAACGAGTGATTCAAGTTGTTTTCTTTTCTGCAAATAAAAGGCAAAATCTAAAATTTGCCAAGTCTGTGGAGGAGGCACTGGAAAATCTTGTTCAAGCTACTTTGAAGGTAAGAATTAAGATCAGAAATTTATCTTGTTTAACATTTTTTTACGGCGACCGGATCAGTGAGTTGGAAATTATTTTTATAATTGATGAATTAGAAGTGGGATGTGATTATTTAGTAATGCCGCACTTTAAATGATTCAGGCCGAGAGAGTAAATTGACTCTTTACGTCGAACTCGAAAAACCTCTTAAAATCCACGCAGGAGAAGTAGCAAAAAAAAAAAAAAAAAGTGGGAACTTATATAGTGGCACGAAACTCTTTGAAAATGGATTAACCGAAAAAATAGGACGCTGAATACTATGTTAGATAAACTACTCCAAAAAGAGGCTAATTATGAAAGGATGCAGATTTAAATCACAAAATAGTTAATCTACATACCACTGTATGAAGAGTTACATAAAAACTGTAGAGATCTGGAAACGTGCCGTGAGAAAATTTATTTCGGACTCATTTGTTCCTATGTCTCTCAATTGTAAAAATTACATTTTCAAGTTTGCGGAGTACTGCAATGTTATTATTCAACTTCGGTGAATGATCGTTGAATATTACAGGCCTCTAGTGTCACTACATGGGATAAACGTGAACATTAAAGATGACATTTGTACTTATTACCTTTCAGTCAACAACATCTCAAAGGACACATTCCTTTCCACCGATGAACTCAAATCAAAGACGGCTCGTCCATGAACTCGCTGTGTTTTACAACTGTGCATCCAGAAGTTATGATAAAGAACCGAAAAGAAACACAGTAGTAACTGCCACTAAGTGAGTTCCATATGCCGTAGCCTGATCTGGGAAGGGAGGAGGGGGTGCTCATGAGAACGTTGGGTAGGGGTGTGCTGGAGAAGCCTGACCTAATTTAAGACAAATAGCGATCAATTCGCTACTCAGATGTAGTCATCAAACGGTGTGAATTGTGGCCTGATGACTTTAGATCTTTGTCTAACACGTAGGGTGACCTGCCAGTGTATCTTAGAAGTTTCCCGAGGTCAGCTACCATTTTGAAAACTGGTCGCCATCTTATGAAACCTGACCGAGAAACTCTTGGTGGCGAGGTTGTTTAGCTCGCACGGTAGGCCTTCTCCATCTAGTTTCCTCGGTGAATCGTTTTCAAACATCGTTTCTGGTCTCCACACTGAATGTCGGTGTGGTCCTTTTGACTTAATCAGCCAGCGCTTTCTACTATTTGAATGATACATCGCTAACTATTCAATTAGTTATAGGGTATGTCATTGTCTTTTCAGGGAGTCTCGTCTTCCTTCTGCAAGATTATCATCACAGATAGAAAGAGAAATCAACCCGCCTCCTCCTCAGCCCATACCATTCCTACCCTCCTCTCAGGAACCTACAAAAAAGTTAGTATATTGATGACGGACCTAATTACACATTAAATTCGTTTAGTTGTGACGAATATGGAAGCGACCCTAGCAGTTATAAACACCACTTCGGCAGTTGTGAAAATAAGGCCTGAAAAAAAAAAAAACAGGCCCGTACGAGATCTGAACCCATTACCTTTGCGATACCGGTGCAGCGCTCTACCAACTGAGCTAACAAGCCAGTTGGGAGCTGATCAAAGTTGAGTCGTGATCAAAGTTGCAGATTTATGGTCGTGGCAGCGAAGAAAAAGTTTGTGTCAAAAACCGTGAGTAAAGAAAACGTGATTTGTTGTAGTAAAGGTTCGACCTTAATATGCGAAACAAAACAGTTCCTCAAACAAGAGTTTTGTGAAAAGACGAGCACGGAAATTTGTGCCTCTTTTGCTGATTGGCGCTTTCAAAAATGGGCCTTTGAGTGCTGAAGCGATTTTCTCTAGTTTTCTAACTCTACATTTGAAGAGTGCCATAAAGCTGCTAAACTTACGTTATTTTTAAAACACCTAAAACTGAGTACTTCAACCCTTCCCTTCATATTTTTGTACGAAATTGACCATTTAAAACACAGTAGAAGAGTTGCAGATTTACGTATTCGTTTTTTATGATAAAAAATGAGAGAGGAAAGGAAGCCCAGGTATTGAAAAGTTGCTCTTGTTAGCCTCGTTTCCATGTCTCAGTGGGGCTCCAAATAGCCGTCAGACGTAATTTCCCACGCAAAATAAATTTCAATCTCAAAATATCCATTTCGGGATTAGAACCTCTAACCAAGTTCACATGCAAAATTTGAGCCAAGTCGGTGAACCTGCCTGTCCCGCCTGATCCGACATTTATGGACTATCGCTTTTTAATGCTCGTCAATTTGTACAAATCAGTGTTTGCACGTCACTGTTATTGACATTGAAATCTATTATGATGCAAAGGAACGAAAAATGTCGAGCTAACGAATCTCAAACTCGCTTTTTAATACCACTGAACGTTACTGCTTATGCTTAAATCGTTGACGTTTTCTTTCTTGTTGGTACGGTAAGAAAGTAACTCTGTTGTAAATGTTAGTAGTTTCGCGATCTCACCGCTCGCCATGGAAATTGCTATTTTTTTTTTTCGCTTTTGAGCTGTAAAAGGTTTGTCTTCTTATCAACCTTTTCATTTACAGGTTATTGTCTCAGGAAAGGAAAAAAACCGCATGGGCACAACCTCCTGATTACTTTTCCGATGATTTCCAAGACTGATAACAAGATGCCAACTTGATTTAACTAAATTCATAGGAGAAAGAGACAGAAGTTAGAAGAAGAACTGAAGTGTGATCTTCCTGGCTCTTTAATTATAAAATGAATGAAGTGGGAAGACTTAAACGTCAATTAATTTACTCTTCTAACATTTACTCTAAAAGAATTACAAACCCTTACATAATATTTTCTGATACCTTTAAAATAAGGATTCGAATTACCGCTGCATCCTTATGTCAGACTGCGTTTTTCGGGAAGGGAGTCGAGACTAGCAAATAAACTCTATTACCATGAGCGTCATGTTGATTTGGTTTGTATCTGCTTGGGTTACAAAACAACGTTGGGCTACAAAACAGCAGTCATTATTTTTGAAACTACAAGCATGGTTACGCCGATTAGAAATTTGTAGAAATCGTTATTTTGCCCCCTACCCAATCTACAAGGTCTTTCAAAAGTTCGTGCACTTCCTCTACGATCCTATATCTTACTGCGAATGTCTACGATTCTCCCTTTCCCGCCCTCGTTGTTATATTTAGTTTTCCTGTTTTTTTAAAATTATCTCCAAACAATACCTTTTCTCGGAAGGCGTACGCGCTTATTCGCCTGACTTTTATGCTCAATGGAACACTGAGGAATCGCCTTAACGATAACCAGATCAGACCCCGCATTTTTGTAAGGCCATACATTTGATAATCGCGCGTTAAAATAGACGCTCATAAACAAAACCTATTTGACGCAAATTATATTTCTATTTAATGTGTGAAACATAACTTTAAACATACGTAACATGGAAGACAAACTATGTAATTATTGGTACGAAAATCCTCTACACATCCGGTAGGCATGACTTCATGCCTACTTCCTGGCAATATTAAATACGCGTTATTGACCAAGCGTGAGGTCATGATGGTTGTATATTGACCGAGCCCTTTTTTTGCGTTTTATGGACTTCGACTTCGTCTCTTTCCATGAAAAATAAATAAACAATAAAAACAGGCTAATATCCAGCCATCTTGACCATACAAGCATGGTCAATAACGAATTTATTGTAAAGAAAAAAGATTTCGTCAATATTACGGTTATTGTGATCTTTTCTGTGATTGGTGGATTAGCTGAGTGGACTTAGTATAATTGGCTGCTTCAGCTGTCCGATTACAGCCAACTGTCCGATTACAACTGTACAGAATGCCTGATGGAAATTGAAGCTGTGGATGCAACCATAATATTAATAAAATCATACTCGTGATTGACAAATCGGACAAATCCGATTTTGTTAATCACTACTATGGCTACAGACCAGATTGGATTCCACTCGCTCCTATTTCTATTATTTATTTTAGTTGCAGATACGAAATCTTAGGAAAAAAACAGAGGAGTATGTGTATAAATAGCAACACAAAGATAATTTATGGCGCACGTCAGAATACTATTCATTTGCTCAAAGTTATCAAATCGATTTCAACTTTAGGAAATTATATTTGGATCGATGACAGAGATTTAAGTGAATAGCATCGATTTTCCGGATTGAAAGCCTTGAGAACTCTTTAACTAAGATGGGTGGTAACGATTTTTGGTACAATGAAACTTCAAAAAGTCAGTTTGTTCATGTTGAGAGAAGTAAAGTTTGATTTTGTCATAAAACAACAAACACACTTTAACGTCACGCGGATCATGGTCATTTGAGCCCTAACAAGTCAGTCTAACATGTCAGTCGTAAAATCTGTGGCACGTCCGCTGGAAAGTTAGCCTCGTAAGCAAGTGAAATTTTGGTAAGCGAGTGTCCAACATCTTCCAGATAAAAATTAAAGACCATTAAAGCCGCCATCTTTGATTTTTATAGCAGCGGGAGGCTAGTGAGAAAAAGACAAATGAACGAATGGAGTTAAATATGATCAAAAGGAAGGTAAAGGCAGGGGGTTGTACAATTGAAATTTACCCCCCCGCCTTAACCCTCATTCCACTCTAACTCTAAATCAAACATGGCTGCCCGGATAAAGTTGATAAATTGAGATTAACAATCGCGAGTTTGTAACGTTAACTCGCCCTAACAACACGCCTGCAGAGTAGGCAACAGGGAAACAAAATTAAAACCACCTGATTTGCTTTATCTAGTTCAGGACGATACTATGTGCATATGGCGTTAAGCACGCCATCTGAGCTTGTCTTCCCGTGCAAAGGACTCTGTACAAGGGTGTCTCGTGAGACCGCCATCTTAGAAGTAAGACCGACAAACCTCTGGGTACGAGGTTGTGTATGAAGACTGAGTCTGCGCAGTAGTTGTGGTGCCGGTGACGAGAGTGTTAGATATGGCGAGCGTGAACTCAGCGACGCTGATGAAGAAAGCTGATCTAGGGTTATTGGAAGAAGATGACGAATTTGAAGAGTTTCCTGCAGAAGGTAACACCTATCCTTTTATCGGTCACTTATCGTAACTCCCATTTCTTGTAGCACGATATTTTTAAGTTTTGTCTAGTGTTTAGTGTCTACGACTATCGAGACAAAAAAGACAAGAAGTAATTCATCTTATTTGAATTTAGAGGATCTTCGTTAAGTTGTTTTGAATCTGATCCCCTGGCCATCGATCTTTCATTTTCTGTAATTTGCATCACCTTTTTTAGACTGAATTCAAGTGATCCAGGTAAATATCCCATAAAACCTCTAATAGCTTTACAACGAAACATGTGGAATCGAGTTTTCAAAACTAGGTCTAGTACCCAAAGCTCAAGGCATTCTTTTATACCTCCCATAAAAGTAATGGAAAAGAAAAATCTTCCCGTCGCACACAGCTGTTTAAACAAGTTTCATCTCACAACTGAAAAAAATATTTCTGATAGGAATTGCCAAAGGAAAGAAAAGCAAAGCGGAACAATGCGAATCACGAAAGAATACTTTATAGATTTCTTTTATTAATTTTCAGAGGAAGATTTCCAGTTAGCCTCAACTTCATGAACTCAACCTAGTTTTTGTGGCTACTGTCCAAAGCTATGATGTTTGTGACCTTTGGCTCTTTTTATCACTCAGACCAGAATTAAAGCCCTTTTGATTACTAATAGATACAGACCAACAAGTTCTTTGATGGTCACCTCATAAGAATAAGAGCAAAACACAAAACATCAGGAATTTTGAATTGCAAGAATACTGTGCAAACTATTTATTTTTTGGCTAATAATATACATGGAAAAATTACTCAGTTCTGACTGGTTGAGATAGATGCAGGTTTCAGGTAATTCAGTGCAGAAGAGAGTTAATTCAGTGCAAAGAAAGTAACAAATCAGACATTCTGATTGGTCAATAATCAAAGAAACTCACAGACAACCAATCAAATGCGAGCCTTGGATATCGCAACAAAATTTGAAAATTTGTGAGAGAAACAATGGCCAGTGTTTTAGGTAGGTTTTCTTTTGCCACCGCGGCTGAAAAACGGCTCAAACAATGAAAAACACAGTAAAAGGCACTGCTTTTTGGTTGTTGGTTTGGAAAAAGTGGTGTTTAGGGAAGGGAATTGCCATTCATTATTAGTATAGGTAATCACATGATTTTGAGTGCAATTTGGAATAAATAAGCAGGAGTAAATTTTTTCAGACTAACAAAATTGTACAAGCCTGTAGGGCGAATTTTCGATTTCCTTGCAAATTGACCTAAGGTGACTTGTGTTATTATTTTAGCTATGCAAACTAATTATAAATGGTATGACTGAGCAATATTACATCTGCCTGGTATGATTTCTAATGTGGTCTTTGCTGAGTAATGGAGCTCTACTTTCTAAGGTTTGGTATTACATGTAAAATATCTTATTTACTATGGAGGGTGTCATCTCATCATTTACTCATGGGTTAACCACCATTATGGTAACTCTTTTACTAGAGTGGACAGCTGTGGATGAAGACCAGGCTGACATACATGTTTGGGAGGATAATTGGGATGATGATACTGTAGAGGATGACTTCTCAAATCAGCTAAGGTACAATGTGGGTACTCACAAATTACCATCTATGACTTATTTGTCTTAGATTGTGTAACATATCAAAGCACAAGGGACATCCCAATTTCTTGTCCCTTCAGTGGAGAAATATTTTGACAGTGAAATAAATGGGGCATCATTGTAAAGAAATTTCTAAGAAATGTGACAAACTACTGAAAAGAGGCAAACTCAGAAGACTCAAAGCTGATCAAGGATATACAAATATCAAGTTAGAAATAACCTTTATCATGGTTCTAGTTGCCTTATTAAAGTTGGTGAGTCAAGTTTGTAACCATGCTATATTTCTTCAATTACTAGTTGCACAAATTTGTGTTTTAATCAGCATTAGTAAATGGTCAGAGAAATAGTTTTGTCTCCCCTTGATTTTAAAATGTGATGGTTGTTTTTCAGTTTCTTTTAGAACAGATATGGAATTTTAAAATGAAAAAAATTCAAAATGAATACCTAAGAGTAACCTTTAGTACCAAAGTGTGCTGACCATTTTGAAGACAAGGATTTCAGACAGCTGAACTAGGAGATTGAAAGATTGCACCTGTCCTTCACTATGTTTATGGTCACCAAGTGGCTATTTCTAAAAGAAATAATGCCACTAAGACCACTGCCAGACATTTAGTTGTTTAAGAACTATGACCAAGGCAATTTCTTGAGTTTCAACATCCATGGCTATCTATTCTGAGAAAGGGTAAACTGAGTATTTGACATGACATTTATAAATCCCCTTTACGGCTTTACAGATCTCAACAAAATATAGTGTCACTTTAATCTTAAGTCACAAAATCACCTAAAAGTGCTTTATGTGATACATTTGCTTCCCTTTTGTGCCCATTTCTTTTTTTTTTTTTTTTTTTTTTCAAAAGTTTGTTTTTCCAGTTCAAGGTTGTTTATAATCTCAAATACAAACTCTATATCTTTTGTTGCTGATTCCTATAAACCACAGTCTTTTGAGTGCTGATTTATCAGTGAATAGGCAAGATAAGAAGCAATATCACCAATTAGATGTTGTCTGCAGCATATACTTTAGCAGCCATTTTGAATTCTTGTTTACCCATTTCAAACCACATTACCACATAGCTAAAAATGTCTCTTCCTGAGCAAACTCAGCTATAATATCTCAAAAACAGTGAATGCCAATAGGCACTTGAACTCTTGATCCCACAAAAAAGTTCAGGTCTAGCTGCAAATTGCATCCACAAGAACAGCTGTAAAATGACGAGTTAATCAATGCTAATATAAGTTATATTTATCCATGTTTTTTAGGGCAGAACTGGAAAAGAATGGTCACCAAGTGGAGCAAGCAGAGCCAATGAAAACATGAGAAAAGTGAAGACAAATTCTGTTTCACTGCTTCAACGTAACTTTTCAATGTAAATATTGACTATTGTATGAAACCGCAGGAGTAAAGGAAACCTTTTGTTTAGATGAGTAGCACAATCACCATACTCACTTCTGTAACATGTATGGAAAATGTGAAAATTGCTAGTTTGGGACAAAATCACTTCTTTAGGTCTGTTTTAAACTCCCATTTAATATTACAACTGATTTATTTCAAACTATTTTATTTTTGTCACATTTGATTCAAATTTGTATTTACCCAGAATCCCTTGTGGGTGTGGTCTTTTTCACAAATAATCAATTTCGAGTTCACTGACATAGTAAAAAGTAGAAATAATAACATTTTGTATTACATGGAGGCTAGTATCTCCTCAGTGAGATCAACGGGCACTCTAAAAACAGACTTTTTGCCTCTTTTTACAACTTGAAGATCACATCACCATTTTTCTCTTTGAAATTCAGCTCTCTTTTCGTGATTCTTTTCATTATATTTTAGATTCCTTAGCCTATTCTTTTCCTGCTTTTTCCTCCTCCACTCTTTGATCCTCGCAAGCTTTTCTTCCTTTTCGTTAACCATACCTCTTGTCAAGCGCACTTGAAGCGATTTTTACAGATTGCTAAATCTCAGAAAAATTATTGAGCTTGAAGACCCGGCGACCCTTGATAACGTCGCAGAAACCGCCAAAACAGGAAAGGTTACTATAGCCGCAAACGCTAATCACTCGTATTTCAAACTTTACTAGAACAAACTTGACACATTGTTGAATACGGTAACTGAAAATGACAAAATTACAAACACGCGAATGAGCACGAGTAAGTTAAAATAACTTACATCGTATGAGTGAAAGTACTGGAAAACGACAAAGCAAAATAAACAAGGATACTTACAAGACGAATGTGACCAAACCAAAGACGAAAACATGAAACCCAGAGCTAGATATGTAACGATAATTTTCGCAAACTAGACAACTAACAAAATAAATTACGCGCAACCAATATATCTACGATATGCAAATAAATATCACAAGTGCAAAACTGGTAACTGACAAAGGACACTAATGAAGACGAGAAAATAAACACCTAGCACAAAACTATGAAACACCAACACTAACAAAAAATGATAATACAAATTCTAGCGCCTACAGTTACCAAGCTATTTTCGACACGGAGATGAAAAGATGAAGGCGAAAATGGCGGAGCAAACAGCAGATTTCATAGCGCTTTTGGTGGCATTTGTGGCGAGACTCCGTTCTCAATATGGCGTCAACATGGTAAAAAGCGTAGCGACTTGGTCAAAAGTGAATATTTTGGCCGTTTCTAAAGATATGGACCCGAAAACTTGGAAATGACAAGAGAAACTTATGAGCATTGAAGTGTAATCGATTTCGAAACCCGACTTTGCCGTGTTTGAAGTATAGTGGCGAAGGGGAAGGTAAGTTGAAGAAAAATATTATTGCGTAATCAGGTTTTAGAAAACCGTAGCGACTGTTTTACACTGATATTTCTCCGTTTATAGTCAATCCTTTAGACTGATTTTTCGCTATTTTAGAACACCAAGTATGAGCATTTGGTTAATGTGTTTTTGTTCCCACAGGATTCCAGTTCAGTCAATCTACGGACAACAACTTGGTGTACTTCCAAATTCTGAAACCCAGCGTTACACAAAGGATACTTAAGAATGATGAATCTTTTCTATTCGTTTTAATAAACTTGAAATGTCAAAGTTTTGCTCAAATGTAGTGTTTATTGTGTGTTATCATTAGGTGTAATTTGTTTAGTCGAACGAGCTTTCTTTTCAGTGAAAAATGTATTTCAAAAATGTTACCACTGACATTGTGTTACGCGTTACAACCAAAATTGGCTCGATTTTTCATCTTTCACGGGTATTTTCTCGAAGACAGTAATGTGGATTTCTGATTTTTTGCTTTTACAATAATCAATAATAACAACTTTACCTGTAAGCAAAGATTTGGCTTCAATGAAAATGTAAAACAGAAGAAATCATTGAAAGTTTGCAGTCAACCCCCTATGGGCATGGTGATTGTGCTACTCATCTTAAGAAACCTCTTTCATTCTAAGTTGTGGTGACGAGTTAGGAAAAGATGAGATTTAAGGCATAGGTACATTTATTCCAATTACACAGCAAATGAAAGTAATTTAAGGAGCTATTAGTACTATGATCAAAGTTTAATCCCTACAAATTATAGGTGTTACGGAAATTCTCGGGAAAGATTGAAAATGGTGTTCTCCAATATTAAGCAACAGGGCCTAACTTGGTCAAATGGTGGCTCTAAATGTGGTGCAGTTACTATTTTCATTGTTCAATACATTGTTCCTATTTCCAGTCCTTCCTAATTTGCATGAAATTGTTACAGTTTGTGCTATTATATAATAAAGGGGGTAAGTTTGGAAAGAAACTGTGGCACTGCATCAGTGGGAGAATATAGCAGGTAATTTAGTGTTAACATCTGAGTTGAAAACGTCAATTGGCCACTGCTAAGAGTAAAAAAGCAGACGTTTCGAGCGTCAGCCCTTCGTCAGAGCGATTGACGAAGGGCTAACACTCAAAACGTCAGCTTTTTTACTCTTTGCGGTAGCCAATTGACGTTTTCAACTCAGTTGTTAACACTAAATTACCTGCTATTATATAATAATCTTGTAGAATGCCATTAAACACAGCAATGAGTAGTATCAAAAGCAAACTTCAGCTTTCTATTTTTCGGTTGAACTTTCCGGAACCAGTACATCAAAAATTCCTTCAGTGTGCTGTTTTGAAATTCTCGGGCCCATCTTGCCTGCTCGGGTAGCCTATCAGAACACAGGATTTGCTTCATCTTCCCCACGGGCACTGCTAGTGATATAATTAAGATTGATACATTTATAGATTGGTATAAAGCTTAGACCTTGACTAGCCATTCACTGTCTAAAGGCGTGGAAACGAGTGGCAAGTTATTAATCGATTCAAAATCTTAAGAAATGAGATAAAAAATAGTATAGCTTGCAAATGACAGAACTGCGATACGTCTCCGTCATTCAAGCACTTCATTTCAATTGAGCTTTGTTCGGCTTCGAATGCAGAACATTTAGAACAACTGCAATAAAGTGCCGGTAAAACGTCGCAGTGGTGCGTCTCGTTGGATATAAAATCGAGTGCTGAGCTGAGTCGTATATGAGGCGCTCAGGCCGCACACGGTCAGTGTAACAGCTGCTTCTTACTTAGGCTCGCAGCATCAATCCTTACTGATCACAGTTACATCACCATGCTCTGAACTTATTTACAACGATAATTAGGGCTAAATTTACGCACCTTTTAAGAACACAAAATATTTTTTTGTTATATGAGAAAGCTATTTAGTCCCATGAATCCGAACATGACCAACTGGCCTATTTTGTCTGTCTTCTAGTCAGCCGCTGTCTGATGAATTTACACAACATTTTCAGACTTTGGGGCTTATTTTTGCCAAACCTAAGGGTCCTGTCACGAAAGAACAACTAACCGACGCCATTTATTCTATTCCTGGCAACGACTGTGACAACGAATACATCGGACAGACCAAAGGTCAGTTTGATGCACATTTGAAAGAGCATCAGAAAGCGGTTTTCTTTTGCAAAAAAAAAAAATTCAGCTTTATCGGTGTACACATGCCTAGCTAACCGTACAATTGGGTGGGATTAGTCTAAAATTATCACCATTAATCGGCGATACCACCAACGCCTTTGTTTGGAAGCTTGGCATATTAACTCCGCCCACGCCCCTTCAAGTCGTGATGACCGCGGCTTACTTCCTGACGCCTATTTACACCTCGCCAGAAAAAGGCAGTCAATTAGTGATCGTATAAAAGGACCTCTTGATGCAGCGTTTAGATCACCCCTGATAGAGGCACTAGACAGGAGTGTCGAAACTTTGGGTCTATGAATTGTAACTTCTTCGGTTACATTCAGTAAATCTGTAAACCAGAGTAGCATCAAACCATGTCTGACTGTCCACCTGGTTGTCATATGAACTTTAATATATCTTACACAAATTATTTTGACGTGAAAATCCAACAGCCTTTTACTTGCTCAAAGAATTAAGAAATGATATGGATCCAGATAAATAACTCATTTCTGCCTTTGAAATGGTCTTTAAAATGCGTCGTCAAGTTCAACAGTGTCAGAACAATCACTTTGCTCCATGCCTCCTAGATCCTCCTACTATCAGGTTCAACCGAAAGAATTCAATGCAGCCTCAACTACCGCGATTGTTAACCAGCTCCTGAGTCAACCATCCAGTACCCAGATTGGAAATCGTTTTTCCACGTTATTACTAACAGAAATACCCCTTCAAGCGACAAGACGTATTATCGGAAGTGCGAGCTTTTCCTTCAGAATTCATCGGAAGGTTACGAACGAGCATGGAACATTTGAATGAGCGTTTTGGACATCCGTTTATTGTATCCAAGGCCAAGTGTACAGAGACAGGTTACAACGATGGGTAAAGATCAACCACAAAGATCATCCAACGCTGACTTCATGGTCAGTGTTGAAACAGCAATGCACACTATCAAGGATTTAAACGTATTGAACGACTACATGGAAAATCAGAAACTGCTGGGCTCGTCTTGCAATGGAATTGAGAAACTACAGGAAGACTGAGGGAAACAAAGACATATCTAGATTTCGATACTTTCGCTACATTCATCAGAGAAGAGACGGATCTCTTATGTCACCCAATTTCATCCTGTTACGCGATCAAGGAACTAGACGCGGCAGCAAGTAATAGACAAGAAGTCAGTGACAAACCGAAAGATGAAGGGAAAGGAAGCGTACAGTGAACGAAAACAACAGAAAAGTTCAGACGACAACCGCAATACACCTTGTTCTACAAGTAGTCAAGCCACCAATTAGATACCTGTGTAATGTTTAAGACCCAGACGCTACAAAGTAGACTAAAATTTTTCAGCGAAAGTAAGATTTGTTTCGGATTCTTAAGGGGGCATTACGGTTGGTTCATGGTAAGATTTTGGTAGCTTACTTAAAAGATCATAATTAATCAACAATTCAATCAAATCAGCTTAAACTTGGTAAGAAGTACACCCAGGCAACTGCCTACCATATGACATGTTTAGAGTTAACATATTGTTTATTTTGGGTTAATAATTAACAAGTTATTGTGAAGGGCTATTTTGAGGGTCGAATCGAGGCCCCTCACTGTTTTGTCATTTCCTTTCAAAATAATCACCTAATTTTTGGTACAATAAAGCATTATCCAATGGATTGCAACCTTATTGAGAGTTATTGCCTTTTACTTGCCCTATGGTATTTGGCGCCGGTTTATTTATTAGCTATTTATCGTTATGGACACAGTACACCAAGTTAAGTCTGATAATTCTCCAACTGCGGAGATTGTTGGAAACAAATCGCCGCTTCGTAATTCGTGGTATAAATATCAGTCCGAGGAAGAGGATGTGGCATTGACCCTTGCCCTTTAGGAGTCCCTCGAAGAGAAGGAGCAGGCAATTCGTAATTGTTCAATCTGCCTTAGATTATCAGCCGAATTAGTGACGCATATACGTTTTCAGAGTGACATTGACATTGGTAAGGATATGTGTAAGGACAACCCTGAATTCGACGACAGGCGTGGGAAAAAAAAGGCTGACATCAACATGGCAAGATATTGTTATGCATCTTCTTCATGAAGATTACACCCGAGGTACTTTGCTTTATTAAGCATTTTGAATTTTATCTGGATTGACGTTTGTTACGTTTCATAATTCTACAGGGGAAAATGACGCCCATGATTGAAACATGTGAAGTAGAGAACCACTGTCCTGGGAAACCTATTCTGCCTCTAAGAGGTTAGTGGAATAGATAGATTTTATAATTTGAAAGAAAAAAACACTGCTACGCTTGTTTCAAGTTATCATTTCGAGCACGTGGGTAATGTAGATATTTCGTCGAGTAGGCCTTGTTTTCCGTAATCTTTTCACCAGAGGGGGCTCACGCACTGTGATTGCGTAACCGTGTGTAATTTCATGCCTCACCCTTATTTAACAAGGAGTCATTTGTCACCCATGGAGGCAATAAACTTGTAACACGCAAATTATACGTACTCTTTGTATTCGTCAGAGTAATGACGGATGGTCGAAGTTGGAAGAAAGGCAGCAGAACCGAATGAAGTGGGTATGGAAAAGTACGGTATGCCAACTGTAATGGCTCGTACTAACGATCACTGCCTGTACAAGGTGGAATATGGTGTTGTAAACACGGTACAATTCAAGAAGAAAGAGGGCCAGCTGATATGCTCCCTTTGTCAAAAACAACCGTCGTACATTCCCTGTAAGGCACGCAGGTACCTGGTTATCAAGGAAAGCCATGTTCGAGTGTTTCATTACGGAAACCACACATGCGCCGTCAAACGTCCACCACACTCTAGCGGAAAAGGAGGATATGAAAGGATATCTTCGGAAGAATCTAACCGTAAAACCTTCCCATGTGCCATCGGCCTACATCCTATCGATGGTAAGCAAGTGTCTACCACCCTTTGCTTCGACGACAGTGAAAACGTAACTCTAATTTGAGAGATATTCAATGAAGTTTTTGAAAAAGTCTCGAGCGGCACCACATCAGTGTTCAATCCAATCGACTGGTGCACTGACATGACCGGATCCAATCTTAGTGCGATGCGAAAAGTATTTGGAGATAGTTCTGTTAATCGCATCAAGACATGTGAATTCCACTTCAAGGAGTAGGGGATCTTCGCTGCCGGGAGCTTAGTATGAATAAAGACACACAGTTTAAAGATATGTCAGTTAAACTTTTAGAATGCGAGACTCCTGAATATTACGACGCCCTTAAAGAGCAGTAATTGAAACTCATGTCAGGAGAAACGGAGGAAAGCCAACTGAAGTCTTGGTTTAAGTGGTGGAGAGACAGTTCATTTTCAGAGCATCAGAAGATATCCTCACGCTATTACATGCGACGTAGAGAAAATTTTTCACCTGTTCATCGTTCGTGATGGTGAGAAAAACTAATTGCGATTTTTCTGGTGGCCTAATTGCAACGTAATTCAACTGCTGAAAGAGTTCAGATTGAAAGCAGGCTTGATGCACCGGAACAATAGATGCTTATTAACAATTTTAGCGCCTCAGGCTCAGGTAATATTGTTGAATAATTCCCGAGACGAAGTCATTTTGAATTCTGGTGTAAATCTGTTTTGCTGATGACACCGTTCTGTTACAATGTTTTGATTACTCGTATCAAGATAAGCAGCCAGTTTCTCCTTTCTTTTGAGAAGTGTCAAAACTTAATGGCATCTTTGGGCTCTTCAGAATTGTATTTTCTTCTAATGCTTTTATAAGTTCCTGCGTAACATCGACAAAACACGAGGCAGTCATTTTGAAATTAAGCGCCCTTCGTCCCCTACTATAATTACCTCGTACGAAGTGATTATAAACCAGGCAAGTAATTAGTATTTTTCGCGCGCGCTGATTGGCTAGTTCGGAGATGAGTCGCAGCCGAAGAAACAACAGCACGCGTCAAGAATTTAATTCCAACTATTCGTCGGTATTTATTTTTTTAAGAATCTGTGCGGTACCTACGAAAACAATTATTCAGCTCAGTGTCATTGAAAGTGGTGGATCTTCGCATGAAGAACAAATGTCTTATTCAAACCTGTCAAGCTTCGTTATTTGTTTCAGTTATGAAGACTGCCTGAAGTCTTAGACATGCAAATGAGTTGCATGTTCTAAACCCAGAAACACCATAACAACTCAGCACACCAAGTTGAAAAACCAAAATGAAGAAGAAAAAAAAAAAAAAAAAAGAAAGGAAAAGGAAGAGAGAGAGAGAGAGAGAGAAATACAACCTGAATCGTACTTGTGAAACAAAAAACAGAGACATGGCTGAGGATTGGGGTGATTTTCCAAGATTTCAACTGAAAACAACATATGTAGTGAAAAGTGCACGGCAACTGCAACGCAAAAAAAGCACCAGTACTCCAAAGCCCCTTACAACGAGGTTACTGGTCAACTGAAAAACTTGATAACAGACTCGACACACAAAGGGCGCAAAATCCCTGCAAATCGAGTTTCATTTTCATAAATTCTTGTGTATATATATATGTAGATATTTTTTCTTTTCTTTTTTTCTCTTTCAATATTTTGTGGTGTTCTAGGTTGCTCTAGAGCTGCAGCATGTTTTGGTGTTCCTGTGTGTTCCAGTGTTCCTGGTTTTAATAAACATCTAACTAAGTTCCCTTAGGACAGAGAAATAGTTAAGAATTGTCAAGTGATGAATTGACATATAACTACATCCTGTAATTCTCTTTTTCTCACTCTTTTTTTATTTCAATCTCGCCCCTTGCAAAATAAAGGCTTTTCTTTCCTCTCCCACAGCAAGGAGTTTCCACTTGATTTGGTTTCTGTAATCTACATAACAATTAACTGCTTACTTCCCTATATTGTATCCAATATTGCATAATAATTTGTCTTAAATAGAGTAACGTATTATTTATACTGGGATATATGACTTATTAACTTAAAGATAAATAAATAAATAAGCAGTGCATTATTTATACTAGGATATATGACTTAATAGGATAAATAAATAAATACAAGTATGACTTTTACTGAGTAAACATTAATAAATATTACATTAATAAATTAGCTATAAATATAACTGTCTTGTCTGGCGCCACTTTGATATCCTGATACATGTTTTATATGTAGTTTGGTACAAGGTTGGCCAGGAAAGCTTATAATAGACTCACCGCACTTCACGATAAGACCTCCACTAAGAAACAGGAATTCCCTTTGTGAAATGAAGTACCTGGTTATATTTGAGTTAAACTTTTCTGCCTAATCTGTTACCCTGTTAGAGACGTGGTCATAATTGGGTACACAACTATGTGTATAAATTTTTTTTACATTTGGCATGGCCGCAGCTTCATTGCAGCATGGAATGGTGACAATTTAACTCTCAATTTTTAAATACCACACACAGTTACAATGGACAAGAGCCAAATCCCTCACCAGAATGGTGAAAAAGAATGGAAATACTATTGCACTCTGCTTATTGACAACAAAAGCACTCAAAGATCGAATGTTTTCATTCAATTCAATTGAAACTGCCACCACTCTAGGTTGCTATGTTCATAAATAATGAGAGAACTTTGATCAAAAGAAATTAGGGGAAGCAAATTCTCACGGTACTACATGATGTACATTTCCTTTCTTTCAAAGTGAAACCCACTACTGTGAAGTCTTGGTAACTACAAGAGCCAAAACATTCTACCAGTACTTTCATTTAGTTGGCTCAGCTAGCATTTGCCTTTCTTGAAGAGGCCAACTTAAGTTTCAAACCACTAACAGTTGCTGGCTTCACGGATATTCCTTCTACTTTTTCCTTGTACACTTTTTGTTTTGTTTCTTCAAAAGCAAGTTTGGCAATCAGCTGCTGCTCCTTTCTCCAGAATAACAGGAAGTCAGAACTAAACTTTGCCCAGATCTCAAGGAATTCTTGAGGTGGACTACATGTAGCCATAGGTTTGGCATTGAAGAATCTCCAAAGGGATGAGTACCTGTAAGAAACCTTTAAAATCAACCTAACAAACTGTGAGATAAAATATTATCAATCACCTAATTCATCACACAAAAGTCCCAAGTGGGCACTGCCTTTAACTATGGAGAAAGATAACCCTTGTAGCATACCAGTACATAGAAATGGCTACAAGACCAGACATTCATCATAACACTGATTTAGCAAAGGGACTTGTGTGTAGGACAGTTTCTCCAAATGATGACAGAGGTAACTTTAGTTTGACACTTTTCCTACACTCCGTGACATTTGTTGAAACATTTTCTGCCTTTCCTGTCCCTCTAAAAAATAGAAGATTGTATTAAACATCTTGATGATATTAAATCCCTCACATGGAAAAGAATAGTGAAAGAGTATAAGGAAAAGAGAAAAACTGTGATGCAATAAATTATAACTGAGGACCAAAATGTTGAAAACATTGCTCTAGTGATGTCATTTGCTCAATATGCTCCTGGCCTTGAAAAATTGTTTTCCAGCTACCTTTTCTGGCACTCTGTAAGTGCTTGTTCCAGCTCTGAAACCTCTCCTTGACTCTGCTCCAGAAATGAACTCATTATGCTACTGAACGGTTGTTGAAGACTTTCTTCACTTTCCTTCATCACTTTGGAAAGCTTTTTATTACATAGGTCTAACTGCTTCCTTAAGCTGTTTATTTCTGCCTCTATGTCCTCAAACTTTATTTGAGATGCCACTTTCAGATCATGTGGTTCTGGTAGTGGAAACTTGGAATTAACAGTCCCTGCATTCTAAGGAAAAACACTTCAAATTGTTGCCAACATGTGTAATATGGGGTAACTGAAACACATCTTTTGTTTGGTTTGCAATTTTTTTCATCCCAGTGTCCTTCCTGAAAATTTTAACCACAATATCTACATCGAATTGTAGCAGACCCCCCAAAAATTTATAGAACACATAGAACCTACCAGTTGGTGAAAAAAAGTCTGCCTATTTATAACACCAATTGGGACAAATAACATTTGAAGGAAGTCAGTAATGAAGAAAAAAACATAACAAACTACAAGGAATAATTATTATTCCTTAAAATATATATCGCAGGTCTGTCCTTAGTGACATCATTTCTTAAAAGCATTACATAGTTTTCCCAGTCAGAAAGATGTGACTTTGGGTGCACCCTAATGCACACTTAATAAAATATTTAAGTAGGTAGCTTCAAGAGCAAACACCAATCAAACTGCAAGACAACCCTACTGTGCAATGGTCCAGAAAACTGATACATACTGATGCCATAATAAAGAATGTACCTTATCAAACTTTTCAATGTACACAGTTACAAGATAATGTAGCAGGTTGGTGGAATTGTCTTTGCATTTCACATCTTTCAGTTTTGGAAGGATGTCCAATTCAAAACCATCTGCCTGTCCACGAGCAATGTTTCCTCCATTCATATAGTTCCCAAAGGCAAGTACTAAACCCAAAATGTTCGGAACTTCTTTGCATGTCTGCAACATCTAGTAGGTCATTACAATAAAAGAAAATTTTATTTAGTCTTAAATTACAATTTATAACACTTCCCTAATTTTAATAGTAGGTTTAAACTACTCAGCCAGAAGATGAGCCTATGCATTTAACACTCATCTCAAACAAGAAGTCTAAGAGGAATAACTCAAGGAACAAAATTTTAGAGTTGAGAAAAATAAACTCTTTCCCTTTGCAGTCAAACTATTTTCACACACATGTTGACCAAAAACTGAAGTTTGAAATGGTGGGTCTGATATGTTAACCTCATTTGATGTATCTAAGTTTTACTTCAAGAAGAGAAAACACGCAACAATTACATAGAGCCATTTTTGAGATAAGGTAAGTACTCAAGCATGGAACGACCTAAAACCACCAAAAACCACCTAAAACCACCTAAAACCACCTACAACCACCTTTAAAAAATTTCTACAACCACCTCAAAAACATCTACAGCCACTCGCAAACTATCTAAAACCACCTAAATCAAGGCCTAAATGTCTAAAATAAGGTGAGACGACAATATGTCACGTACATGAAATGCGAGAATCGAACGAAACCTTCACCTTCCCCTGAAATCTTACTGTCCCTGGTCCCATGTATAATCAACCATCTCACGAAATGAAATGCGATAGCATGCTAATTATTTTATATTCCCTCAGTAGCAAAAGACTTAAAGAACTTTACAAAATGAACTAACAAGTTACAAAAAAATAATAAATAGGGAATAATACATGGGCGCGCGTAGATATGGAAATTCTCTTCGAGTGTTTAACTCGATAGCTCACAAGTGAGCGCAGCGAACAAGTGAGATGTTGAGTTGAACACGAGAAGGGAAATTCCATATCTACAAGCAACCATGTATTACTTGTTTATCATATAAACACGACAGTCCTTTTCTGGGAAGAAAAGCCGACCTCGTTAATGAATGGGAATAAATGAATCGACAATCCTCGAATAACAATCGTAGAGTGCGTTGGCGCTGACTCTTAAGATGGAAAAATGCGTTGAATCATGATAACAAAAACTTCCATATCTACACGCACCCACGTATTATTCCCCTTTTTTTACTTTTTTGTAACTTGTAAGTTCATTTTGTAAAGTTCTTTAAGTCTTTTATTACTGAGGTAATAAAAACTACAATTGGCATGCTCTCGCATTTCATTTCGTGAGATGGTTGATTTATACAAGGGACCAGGGACAGTAAAATTTCAGGGGGAGGTGGAAGTTTCGTTCGATTCTCGTATTTCGTGTACGTGACATGTTGTCGTTTTGCCTTATTTCAGACATTTATGCCTTGTTTAAGATTGTTTTAGATAGTTTGCGAGTGGCTGCAAATGTTTTTGAGGTGGTTGTAGGTGGTTGTTGAAATTTTTGAGGTGGTTGTAGATGGTTGTAGGTGGTTGTAGGTGGTTTTAGGTCGTTCCATGTTTTAGTACTTACCTTTGAGATAAACAGACCTAACCTAAAACTAGCATTCAGGAAATATCATTGTGAAAAATCCTCTAAATTTCCCAAGATTTCTGCCCCATCAAAACCAGGGACTGGTTTCAAATTCAAGATAATACCATTGAACACATTGAAAATTTGTCTTCCAAAAAACAACTTTAATTTGACAAGTACAACTTAATTATAAGAATCTTTCCATAAACAGAATCATTTTGTGGCTGACAAATTATTCATAAACTTTGCAGCATCATAATTTTGAAAAGACTGCATTCAAATGATTGAAATTTACCCAGCAGTAAAGCCTTACTCCAATGATGAAAATCCTGAAGTTCAGAAAAAAATATATTGAGGAGTTTTTGAACATATGTCAAAATCATACAACCAGGGAGGGGGAACATTGGTTTTGAGCCCTCTGAATATAGCTAGTAGAGCAAAGAGAAACTATATCCAACCTCCTTAATACACTCAAATTCGCTGAAAAGAAATTTGCATGAATCAGTCTAAACCAATAAACCCTTTTAGCTTTAGGTTTGAAATGGGTAAACAAGAATTCAAATGGCTGCTCAAGTATGTGATTCAGGCAACATCTTATAGGTGAAACTGCATCTTCTCATGTTGAAATTTTCATATTCACAGATTCACAGATACATCAGCTTTCAAAAGACTGTGATAATGTAGAAATAATAAACACCTTGAGCTGGAAAAACAAACTTTTGAGTGCACCATCTTTATAGCTCGCCTGTCTACTAACTTAAAATCATTGTCCATTTTTCATTCTAAAATTCCATATCCATTTTAAAAGAAACTGAAAAACAAATACAACATATTAAAATCTAGACAAGACGAAATTTTTTTCTGCCCATTAACTTTAAAACATTAAGATTAAAACACAAATTTGTGTGACCAGTAGAGGAAGATATACACATGGATGCTTAACTTCCAAAATTTAGGATCCTTAGCATATATAAGAAAATGCAAATCCAAATTTGTGGAAAGATTATTATATGACAGTTACAGGTGTAGCAACAGCTCGCCATTCTTAGCACTTTTCAATTAAATTTGATATGGCCATGACTGTTGTTTACCCATTTTGGACCATGTAACCAATCTATGATGTATGAAGCTAACAGGGTCCATTACTGTGATGGATTAGTTCTCCTATATTAACAATACACATATGTATTGGCTAACTGTCTGAAATAATAAACACCCAGAGATTTTTGACTAATTATTTTCAGTAAAAGCCTGTACTGGGTCACAAAGATCATACAATAGTAACATCTAACTAACTGAGCATTACAAATGTACTAGGGATTATTGACCTGAGATTGTGGCCACACAGACCAAGCACAGCAAAATTAAAATACAGCTGATGGCCAATATTCTCCGGGACAGCTTGAGCAAGAGAGGTTAGTAAGTATTAGGCGCTCAGACCAAACTTGTTTATTTTGAATTGCACAAACACAAATTCAAACTTGTGTAATTTTGAATTTCCTGGCTTTTGCAAACTAAAATATATGGCTCATGACTGTTTCCATGGAAACAATTTATATAGCAAAATATGGACCAATTAAGAACTAATCCGAATGCAAGGATTTACCACAGGACTACCACCCTATTGGTTGAATGGGAGGGCCAAAGTGGAAAATTTTTGGCAACAAAAGTGTAGGCGAAGCTGTGCAGGTCACCCAGCCAATCCAACTGCTAAAATCTCTCTGTTCAGCTTTGAACTATATTGATACTAACACTTGATGTAGCTGTTATGAGCATAATCAAATGATGTTATGACACCTCTAAATTGAACTCATGACCTTTACCTCACAAACCAATCGAAAGTTGGTCAGTTTCTGTCCAATTTCTGAGAGAGAATCTGTCACGCTTGTTCTTAACATCAAACAGTAAAGTCGCTCCTCATAACAGCTGATTTTTGACAAATCCATTAAGAACTGCTCAGGTCTGTCAAGTATCACATCACAATTCTTTTGACAGAATGTAGCTATTGTTTGAAGTTCCTCTTTTGTTGGCCTCTAGGTAAAAATGAAATCAGCACATACTGTAGACACTTTTTACCACTAAATGCGTATTTGAATACAAAATTAGTTTAGGGACACATGTTTGTGTTATGGGTTCCTTGTAAGTCTGATTTAATCTGAAGTAAGATGTTTATGAGCATTGTGCTATGTAGATGTCATGCATTTTTTCTAGAATCTCAGAATATAGTTATAGATCTAAGACATACAAAAAAATTAGGAAAAAATTGAATCACAACATAATAATTTCTAAGAACTCCAGGGAGCTTTATAAAACACACTGTTGACAAGCTAGATACCTACAATTTCATACAGTGAGCTGAGGCTTTCCTGATCCACAATGGAGGTGTTCACATTGTACAGAGCATCTCTTATCTCATCCATATTAACATGAAGACTGCTCAAAAAGATTCCCACAGATTGCGATCTCTTGTTGTCCAATAAGTGGATAACTTGCTGTTTTATTTTGTGCATCGATCTAGAGGATAAAAGTTTTCCCTCTGTCTTTCTCTCCACCTTGGCAAATGTTTCAGCAAGGCGACTGACATTAATTGTTGGTTCCTTGAGTGTTGCCCAAACTGTTTCACTGGCCTCAGTCTCCAGTCTGACAGGTAGCTGATTGAGTTGTATTCTCTTCCAAAAAAGAGGTTTCATGGGGGATACTGCATCAACAGAAAAAAAGAGGAATTACTACATTTGTCATATCATTTAATCTACATGTGAAAATTCAAGGATGAGTTGAACTTAAAAATCAGGAAGCCATGAACAGACTTTGAAACACTGAGACTACACGAGATGTAATTTCTAGGTTGTACTGTGTAGCCTCAGCACCACACATTTTCAAGTCTCACACCCCAAAATGTCCATAGCTTAGATCTTTCAAATGACTTAATGTATACATAGTGACAATCTGAACCATCAGGATCTTTAGCATGAAATTAATTTGTACCAAGAATGAAAAAAGACAGGCTATACATAAAGGACTGGCATTGATTTTTAAACCTAATAAACAAAAATTTTTTTATAGCTCCTTTTTAAAACTCAATCCTTAATTAAGAAGCTAATTGGCAACTGGTGAAATGTGCAAACACTACCAAAAATAATTATACATTACAACTGAATCAATTTGTTTCGTTTCTCTATTGATTGTTTTAAACATGTCTGTGCAGATCCATACAGCAACCAGTGATTACATTGAATAAGATTTCTTGCCACAATAATGAAATAAAACGATTAAGGGCCATTTAGGAGTTTAGCCATTGTTCAACAAAACTGCATCCTAAACAATCCTCAATTTAGCTGGCCCTTTCATCAGAACATCTATTTCTATAAACAGTGTCATGTGGGCTGAAAGCTAATTGTGGAAGGACATTTATTCATGTCACATTAACCCTCACTAGAGAAAGCTGGAGGCACACTGATTACGTAAAACAATGCTTTGGGTCAGACCTTGTGTGAATAACTGGCCCTAAATGTCTCTTGCATACCTGGTGTGACAAGTTTCTTTCTTATGGTTGAACCTTTCCTTGCTCCAGAAGTACCTGGCAGTGAAGGATTAATTCCAGGAGGAGGGGGAGGAGGAGGAGGAGGAACAGCGGCAGGGGTAATGGGAGGGGGACAAGCAGAGGTAGATACTCCTTGAAGTGCTAGGGGAGGTTTAGGGGGAGGGGGAGGAGGTGGGGGAGGAGGCGGAGGTGGAGAGGGAAATCCTCCAGGACAGAATGATTTCCCTGGTGGTGCTGGAGGAGGGGGAGGTGATAAAGGGAAAGGTGAAAAGGGGGTACAAGAATAATCTGAAGGAGATACACTAACACCTGGTACAGTATATGTAAGTGGAGAAAAGTTTGGATTCAAGTCATTTGTTTGAGTTGAAGGGGGGGGAAATACTGAAGGAAAATCAGTTTTGCATTCATTTGAAAAGGATGATAAAGGGGCTAGGGAAGGCTCTTTTGGAGGGCATGGGAGTGGTGGAGGATGGTACATAAATTTTGATGCACGTGGACTTGATGGTGGTGTCCTAGCAGCTGGCAGGCCTGCTCCAGAATACATTTCACAGCTGGCTTTGTTCCCTGATAAATACAGCTAAGAACAACAACATCTTCTGCATTAATCCTGCTTACTTATAGTAAATGAACAACTGCTGAGAGTCACTAAGTCCAAGTCTTAATCTAGTTGAACAAAACACAATATAAAAGGGCAACCTGGGCTTCTGAAAAAAATACATTTATTTAATACAAACATATCATTTGACCATGTTTATGGTACCACCCAGTTTACATGATGTTTGGACATTATAGGTGATTGCATGTTACAATAACTTGTGTGGTTTCTGCGAGCCAGTCCATGAGAGACATGTAATTTTTAAACTGCCATAAAACAATTATTGCTTATCTGATAAAAATTAAAATGTATTTTCACACATACTGTAAATTTCTAAGTACACTGTACCTAGTTTTTGGGAGTTTTTGTTTGTGCTTTTATGATCTTCATTTCAATGTCTTGGGATGTTGTTGCTTGTCTTTATTTTCTGGGTATTTGTTTTCTTTACATTTTTCTTTCACTTTACTACAAGTGCGATACCTTCTTGTTTAAGGCACAATAACTGACAGCCTGAGAAAAAATGCTTTCCTCTTACATGAATATTTTCCTCATATTCAAGATCAGAGTGAAAGTAGACCAAACTAGTTATGACAAAAAATTTTGAGCCATATAATCAATAACAAAGCATTTTGCACAAGTATACATTTGATATAATAACTCAAATCATGAAATAAAAGAAACTATTTTCATGAGCTGTTTGCACTACTATATTTTGCTGGTTGAGTAAAAAGTTCTAACACTTCCATCTTTATTTTCTTAGGGGGTACAACAAGCCTCTACCCAGTTCCCCTCTCCCATGATTTTACTGACCATAATACAACAAGAACAACAACTAAATTAAACAGTGGCAATTGATCTTCACACACTAGAAGAAAACTTATGAATCTTAACATCATTAATTTAAGTGCAAACAACTGCCAAGCCTTCCCTTCTTGCACATTTGGGGCTGATGCCAGTTTATTTCAATTTTGTCTTTCGCAATTTATTTCTCTCTTTTGGTCATTTATCAGTTTCATCTGACATATTTTCTCATATCCATTATAATTTTTTCATGCTATAGGATGTTCTCAAATTTTTTAGATGAATACACTAAGAGATCTTAGTATTGGTCAGCTTTCAACAACAATGCCTATCAACAACTCCAAAAGAGAAGGCCAGGGAAAGCTTGCATTTCTCATTTGTTTTAAGGAAATATACTGTGAAAATTTTTGGTCATGCTCTCTCCAGATCATTGATATCAAGTGCAACCACTTAAGGTGGAGAGAGTTTAAGTCTTCCGGTGAATAGCCTGTAGAGTGCAAATAATTGTTTTGCATTTTTAAGCAAGAGGGGGAAGTGGAAGGCATGCATGAGGAGAAAGCAAAGGGAAAGTCACATGGGAAAGGAGGAGGAGGAAAAATATACCACAAGTCCTAACACAGTCACTCATGCTCTTTGTCCTCCAAACACACACCAATAACACCAATCAATTATATAAAACTGCTGCAGTCTTAAATGCTTGTGTTACGAAGTAACCAAGAAATGAATGTAATTGCCTTCAAGGTTTTAAAACCAAATCAAGGAGCCTCCTAAGTACATTTAATGTAATTCTGATTTCAAAGTTCAGAATAGATGTTATGCCAAGGGGCTGAAATTGCAAGCTCTGTTTCTGCATTGTATGCTGTGAGGGGCAGTATAGGATAAGATAAAATCCAATAAAATTGCCTTTGAAGATGACTGCTACATGTACAACCACTTTTCACGGTTGAAAAAGTTACTCATCCTCATCAAACTAAAATATTTTTTCCCAATAATACGCGGAAAAATCAACCAACCCAACCAGATAAAATAGTTGATCACAATGGGAGCAAGACCTAAGTAAGTCACGACGCAGGCCGATCTACTTGACGTAGATATTGATGACATATGAACCTAGGAATGGCGAAGCTCACCATGAGCCTGATCTCTGTATCTGAGGCTCAATGGTAGACAGTCGAAGTGCGGATTCCGAATTTCTAATTCGACGGTTTTACCGTTCATTACCACAAATGCTCACGGCTCTAGCCGAGCGAAAATCGAGTGATAAATTGGAAAGTTTGGTAGAAAAGCTAACCTGATGTTGAAGAGCCCCTGCAAAATACTTCGATAAATCCTGTCAAGGCAGCAAATATGACCGCCGTGTGAAAAACCATCGCGAAACCATCATTTTGCTTTATCATACAAAGTGAATTCGTTTAAAGAATAACCTCGTTCCCTCTATCCCTACCGGTTCACAGGTGACAGTAGTATCTCCGTGATTTGGGCATCTCCGTGTTCAGAGTTTCCCGTACCCAGATTTCTAACGTTTCGGCTTACCCACGACATTACACATGAATAACTGACTGGGGCTAGTTTAGGGGTTGTAACCAAGACCCCTTTATTTTCTCAACTTAAATGATCTTGTTACGGTTTTGTTATTTTTGCCCGAAAACGAAGACCCGAAAACCAGCAAAACATAGCTATTCGCCTTGCTTGAATTCTTGGACCGTATGAATTACTTCTGAATCAATGTGAGGTATGTTCTCCATAATCTGTGTTTGACGGTGTTTGTGCGTGGTCGCCAACACAGATTTTAAATTTTCAGTATTTACCTATAAAGATCAGCTCAAGCTCTTTTGAGGCTTGTATGGAAAAAGTTATTGCTATTTTGAATTGTGTTTGAGTTTGTTAAATTCCCTATAAATGAAGAGGGCTCTGTAATGAGTATAGGTTAAAACATGATTTCATGTGCAATTTGGTGTTAATAAGCACTACACTTTTTTTGAAGTGGGCAAAATACGCAAATTACATGAAGAACGAGCCCCAAGATGAGCAGTTGCCGCGAAAATTCACCAAGAGGATTTACCAAGGTACGAGATTATGTCAAATTCCTGATTTAAAAACTTTTATTTGAAAATACGTTTTACTAAATGAGAGATTTCATAACGCCATTTCATAATACATTTCACGAACGTCATGATCTAAGTTTTCGTTGATGGAAAACATGGGCCCAATCCTGCGCTCATTATCATTCCCTTCCCCCAGATGCGCTCATTGGCCAGACACAAATTGCATGAGTTTTACATTATTGAGATGAACGGGCCGGGCCAATCAAATGTTCCGTTCACACTCTCCAAGGGGTGTTAAAGTCGCATTGGAAAAGAAAAAATGCCTGTTCACTGCGACAGGGATAAGTCATCTGTTTTTACCGATGGAAAATAAAAGTAGATGATACATACGTCTCTGGACTGTGAAAAGGTCTAGCAAGTTACTTTTACTGCTCCACGTTATAGCGGAAAAACCTTTCTCCATATCATCGATTGATCTTTTATCATGCTTAAACCTTATTAAAATCACATTTACTGGTCTTACTTAATCGTATTAAAATCAAATTTAGACATTTTCCTGGCTTTTTATTATATATTCCGCTACCTAAACGTATACAAACAATGACAACCATGTGTATAGAATTGATTTTAATATATGGCAGTTAGTCTTGTTTGTCCAAAGCTCGATAAGTATCGAGAATATTTGTTTCAGCAAATTCAACATTGGTAAGACTCATGGCTGCTTCATTACCTGTTACTGACAAGGAATAAGATGAAAAGCTATTGAATTGTAAAGCGCATTATCAGCATTCGGACATAGGACTAATATCGCTGTGTTACTAAATAGAGGACGGCTTTTAGTGGAGAACATTTCCGTTTGCGAACAGTACTATAAAGCATGCTTCAAAGAGGTTTCGTTGAGAAAGCGATTTCAAGAATTTGAGGACACGATCTGTACTCCGAAATCTTCCACATGGATTCCTTCAGGCAAGCAGTTTCTTTATGACAGTTAATCGGGCGGGCAAACGAGCAAATCTCTGGGTCGGGGGGGAAGCGGTCGCAGATCAAGGGATGTCTTCGATTTCCACCGGCTTAAAACAAAATCAAACTTTGACGTTCGCCAAGATTTCAATGGACCATCGATTGACCGAGAAAACAGCGCGCGCTTTATCTTTAGTGCAGAAAAGATAGAGAAAAGAAAAACAGTTATACTGCTTATGTAAAGCGGAAGACGCTAGTAACTTCAGGGATGGACTAAGTCTTCGAGTTAGACTTCGAGTGTGACTTGGAGTTGAACTTCAAGATGAATTTCGTGTTGAATTTCGAGTTCCGTTTCGAGTTTTATGCAGATGGTTTGAATCTATTTACCCATATTACACTGATAAATTTGATGTAGGCAATGAAGGGATAGCTATACCCCTACGTTGTCCATAGAAAAGCAGATATATAAACAGGGCCTATCATTGTTGAAGGAAAACAAAGGCCACAACGAGTGAAGTCTAAATTACGCAGGCAATGCCTGTTGGCGCAGTGCGAATTAAAGTTGGCATAGAACGTAAGTGAGGACTGGGGCGTTGGGTTATCTCCTTTGTAACGCTTTATAATGCTGCGTTATGAGCTCAAATATACTAATGGGGTGGATTCGAAGTAGCATTAGGATTTTTTAATCATTAGAATTAATTTTTTTTTTTTTTACAAGGTTAAAGCATAAAGAGTAAGGATATAAGTTTTTAACAAAAAGTGGCACAATTTGTCATTGGGTGTGAACAATTAGAAAATGTCCACTTTGGAGGTTTGCCCATATACAGACTAACAGAGGTTTTTCGGGGTCTCATCTTTGAGTTTTCAAGGTCTGAGGTTTCGTAACACCCTCGTCAGGGTGAAATAGTCATTTCTTCGCTTCTAAGGGGTAATTTTTTTTTTTTGGCTTAAAACAAGTCAAACTCGAAGTCCAACTCGAACTCGAGCTAGAATCCAAACTCGATGGTTCGCACATCCAGGTAGAAAGTTGGGCCTTATCTTGCACTAGACTTATATCATTCCCTCTCCTCCTTCATCAGCAAAAGGCATGAATTTGCGTTTTTAGAATGAAAGGCCCGGCGGCTTATGTTGCATATATTTGAGACAACAATGAGACTTTTGATGCAGCCCTCTCATACTGTGTTCCGTGACCGGTTTTACAAACAGGAAAAGGTTATAGGACCAAGTAGCTTTCAGTGATAAATCGCTGTGTCTTCAATAAACACTAGACGGGAAGTTTCCTTCGTTCTTTATGGGAATGGTTTCCGTTACTTGAAAAAGGAAATAACCAAAATCACACAAACTAGGACAGATTCCATGGGCTTTTTTAAGACACAAAAAGGTGCAAGTTTCACTGATTACAAGATCTTTTCTGCATCATATGATACTGGATGGAAATCTGCTTAAGATTAAGACTGGTATGGTTGACAAGATTTATTTTGGTGATGACCGGAAATCATGCAGGGTGCGGTAACAAATTACTCGGAGTTTTTTATCGTTTTGTTTCTTTTAATTTTCATGAAACAAAATACTGAGAAATATGAGCTATTACTCGCCTCAACTGCACGACAAAGGAATACGTTTTTAAGCCGGGCATACAAAATCGCGCAAATTTGATCCTTCGAATAAAGATTTAAAGCGACGAGCTGCTAAAAATATCAGTTTATTTTAGCCACAAATATGTACGAGGTGCTACTGGCGATCACGGTCAACAAATTATAGGTGTAGAGTGATTTTTTTGGCGTTAAGAGCTGAAGAAACTCCCCCTTGAATTGTGCGAGTTAATTCAAATCCCCCATTCCCTCTGGAGAAAGGGAAACGAAGTAAGACCGATCTTTCAAGCGACAATAAATGCTTGAGCTACAGATATGGTGCAAGTAAAGCATATCGTCATCCTCTATTGGACTATAATTAATTAAATATATGGACATTTGAGGCCGGAAAGGCCTGCGGTGAACAAGGAATCTTCAATACCTCTCGGAGAATTTAAGATGATTTCCTTGAAGGAGTCGTTGTTTGCTACAAATGCATAGCTTTCAACTGCTACATATAGCCGCTGAAATTTCTCATGATATTATTGCCAGCAAGACATTTGCTAGTGAACTAACTTGGTTTTATAGGACAATTCTGACTCGCTCCTTAAAAAGCGAAAGTTGCGATCGTCGTTTTATTTCGTCTGAAAACAAAGTAAAAGCTGAATTAAATCCAGGTGTCTGAAAGTTTAGGTAACCGGTAAAAGGTATTGCAAGGAGTCTTCTCATGTTATAACTTGATAAAAAGATCATGAAAGCATCAAAGGACCGACAGCGCTTAACTACAGAGAACAAATACGTTTAATTAGCGTCCCAGAAATTTCTTCTTTCAATAATTTGAGATGAGTGATTTAAAAAGTTTAACTGTGAAACTTGTCTTGTAGATAAAACCAATACTGATAGATATAAGCAAGTATTCAAAGTTTAGGCATGACAAATACCGTGGGTGCAGAGCGACGTAGAGACTTCCTCACTACTAAAGCCTTAATGACTGTTTATTTGAACACCAATGCAAGTCTTTTTAATCAAAGGTGTGTATTTACACCGCGGATCCCACTAGTATTTCTTTCTTATCGCACATGAGGAGTTGCAACGTAGACTTTTTCCTAAGATCACGAAGTAATCTGAAAGAAAATTTCAGAAGATTCCAGAACAGTAAAACGAGAGAATATCTACGCTACTGCCATTCCTGGTGAATTCTTCATCTGGACCTTTCTATTCTTAACAATGTGATTGTAAAGGGTGTTGTTTCTCGCTATGATAGATCTCTCAGACGTCTAATGATTGACAAAGTTAGTCCACAGGACATCATCGTACAGTTATGGGTCTTAAAACAGTTTTAATCAATTGCTTCAAGCTTTACAGAACCACATCGCAAATAGATTTTAGAAGGTGTATTTGTATTTAAAAGCATATTATGTGGTAGCATAATTTCTTTATTGCAGGCTTCTCTATTAGCCTCTCCACCCTCCACTTCATATTAGAGAATCAATCGTCAATCTTATTTTGAGGCACATAAGCTTCAACGGTGGATTTTATGTCAGCCTTACCCGGGCTCTCGGTCATTTAAGACGTGGGAAAGAGCCGGCGAGTAAAACACGGGAAAGGGTCAGGCAATCGTCTTCCTATCAAATACGAATACCGATTTTGCTCGAATTGCTCGCTCGATCATTCCGCTGACTAAGAGCCTGGAACTACAAGATAGTTAAATCTATGAGAGGTTCACACTCAAGATACTTGACCAAGTCGGGAGTAAAACAAACTGGGCGATTGCATTTCAAACCTATCAATCAACATTTGTTTGATTGACCTTGGGAAACAAGTTTGTCGTGCTTTGTCACATTATCAGTTGACTACTAACGAAAGCTTGTAAAGCCGGTGACCGTTTACCTTCAACGATTTCATTCCTTGTCTCAGCACTCCACTGGGTAAGCTTTCTTTCAGATTGTGTCCTTACACTAATGTTGGGCCATCCGCCATTGTTAACCACTTCGATAAACTTAGAAAGGCAACAGTCGCGCAAGTTGGCGGAGGTTTCTCAGCCTTCCCAAATCAAACACAGATCAATCGCATCAATACGTTTGTGCGTTAATTTTATGTGGAGTATCTGCTTCCTCGATTCTCTATTTTTTTCTTTTATTTTTTTACATTTCAAAGACTTTTTGTCTTGGGAGGCTAAATCCAGGATATCAGGTCATTTTCTTCGTCATCCAGAAATCGCTTCAAATAACAAAAACGGAAAAATATGAAGGATAATGAGTCGAAAAGGTCGATTTAGAATAACATGCTCGCTCAATGTTTCATATTAAAGTAATCAGGAACCCCTTCCTCCTCCTGTTGCAAGCTCGGTTGAAAATTCTAGCAATAGCTTACATATCTGGGAATGCATCTGTTGGTGCTCATGGACAGAACTTTTCATGAAGCTGTCCTAGGGATGAGACCTTAATCTATTTAGTGGTGTGCTCTTCAAAATTCCTCCCAAGGCCCTCCCTCAAGACCCTCCCTTTGCCGCCTTTCTCCACCTTCTTTCACAATATGTGGTTTTCAAAGGACGTCAGCAGTTCTAAAAATAAGCTCGTAATTACCGCTTACCGAGGAAAGAAAGGCGTGACTCTGTGAGGAGGAAAGAAATAAAAAATGTGGATAGCAAAGTCACTGTAACAATGCGGGGAAACTTCTTGTCTGCTGTTTATTCTGAACTTTTTTACTATCTTTTTTTTTAAATTTTAGCTTCAACTGACAATCCATGATCGTAAAATCGAGAGCGATTAAAGGTCTCTTATGAATAAAATAGGTCTTTATGTCGAACCAAGATAAAAGAAACCGCTAAACGCAAACAACATTTTTGTGCTGGAGCTGGATTTGTTCAATTGACGTAATTCAGTGACGATTTATAAGCCTTCCTTGCTTGTGTTCCTCATCGGCAGTCCAGCCTGTCTCTTGCGCACTGTCTGTCTCGACTGCACGATAGGCTTGTCTAGGTATCAAAGTGTGGTTTATATTCCATTCACTGGGTTGGTTATATAGTGGGCCACCAGAACTCAGCATGAAGTTGAGACTTTAAAGAAGCAGAGAGATTCATCAAAATAAGATATTTTTTCCTAATTTGAGGAAATATGTTTTTCGTGCCTCGTCAGTTTACAGAAACTATTTGACCGGAAGTAACCGTATTATAGTACTTGGTGTGTTGACGAAAAATCAGACTTAAGGAAATCCTCACGTGTCGTTTTAAAATATGACCAATTAAGGTCGAATTAATGCGATCGCACACCATTATGCTGCAGCATTTTAGTTTCAATTGAGTGCAGCGAAAGATGAATCGATTCTTCTCAACTTGTTATGAATAATTTGGATATTAGCTGCCAAATGAATCAGCTCTCTCAGGTGTACGTGTGAATTTTTTTACAAGCGCTAAAGAGATGTTTATTTCTTCGCTACTTCCGGTCGTTATATTAGATTATAGAGATTTTGCATCTAGCCTCTTCCTACCGGAAATTACGATAACCGGAAGCAAACGGGGACAGACGCTTCCAGCTTTAATTTATCTGAATGGTCAGCAGTTTTCGAAAAGGATATAAAAACTGTGAGTTGATTTGTTGACTTCAATCATTTGAAATTCTCTGAACAGCTTTAAGTCATCACTCAAACCAGTTTAAAAAGAAGATGACAAGCTTCTCTTGGCGCTCTACACAATTAAGTTTTCCTGATACTGATTGATATCATTAATTAAGCGTTAGTACGCAGGCGTCAAGTCTGCAACATATTTAGAAGGAGTACATTAGGTCGGGGTGCATAGTATCTCGGACTGCCCGCCAAGTCACCCTTGTTTTGGCAGCTGCGATATGGACTTGACAACCAGAGATGTCTATTTTCAGGCCCCGAGAAGAAGTTCGTTTTCCATAAAGAACATTCTTAACCTCCAAGATGAAAGAGCCTTACCTGCGTTCCCGAGAGTATCAAGAGAAGAAATAGAAGATTCTAAAGTTTCCCTTTTGAGACCCATGGTGACTCCAATCACTCATGCCCTGAATCCACCGCCATTAATGAGGTATCCTCATGCTGGTCTGGTCTCTCCACTGGGTGGCATCAGTTTGAATTGGCCAGTAGATCCCGCTGCACAAGCCAACTATCCTGCGTGGATTTGCAACACAAGTTTTCTGCAAAGTTATGAATATTTCAATGGTAAGTACAATGTTACTGCTTCGCATTAACTTGAATAATTTTCTCACAAACACGAACTGAATTACAGGCTGTAATGAGTTTCCCTTCCCTGGAAATTTGTTGTTATAAACAGAAGCAAGCAAACAAGAATTGAGCCGTGTAAATTTTTGGTTTTATTTTGCGACAGTTCTTTCCGCAGCTTGCATTCTCTACTAATGGTTGATAAGTGCAAGGTTAACTTACCAGTTGAGGGATAGGATACCGACACTTCAGTCTTTTACTTCTATGAAAGCAATGTTAAGCAACAATTGTTTTTAGATGAAAACACCTTGGCCAAAGATTCTTGATTCTTCAAGTGAATCGACAAAAATGAAACAATAGCTACTTGATCAGGAATTATTCTCCAAAGAGTATCAACAACTGTCACTCTTTTAGGATAGAAAGACAAATCCTTTGATTTTTTTTCTTTCATACCGCTTACAAAAGCAAATTTATCTTGTCCATGCATTGTGATTTGAGCGCAAAATTTACCCGTGCGAAGCTGGTTTCCTCTTACGATTGACCTCCGAGTGAGTTGCCATCAGAGCGGTTTGCTCGCAGTTTGGCAAGTTCTCACGTTTGAATAATTGCATGTCAAAATTCCAAGGTGTTGAAACCGTCGATACTCGAACCCAATCGTGTCGTGGTTGTATTTGAACTTAGGCATAGAGCACACCTTTGTACAGAAGATCTACGGCACATTATGCTATAGCGTGGCTGCAAATTATGATGAGAGTGTACACTCGCAATATACTGAGTTGACTAAATCCGGCGCCAAGCACACAGAATTATTTGACAACCTTTCCTTCTAAGTTTTGTAATACATCCTGACAAATAAATACGTTCCATTCACCGAACTCTTGTAGCATCAGCATTAGCGCTGAACATTGAAACAGAACTAACTTGTTTACAACAGGCACCTTCTCTACGAGTTTATGTTCAAACAACTAAATATATCTAGACCATAGCCAAGGCCCTGTCAAAATACTAAGATTAGTCTTTGTGGTGAATGCAATTAGGCTTTAAGAAAGTACTGACGAACAGATTTCTTTAAAATGGGAAAACCTTTGTTTAATAAATGTTTCCGATTTCGGAGCCGAGTTAAGAAACTTAACGAAGACTGCCAAGGATGTAACCTCCAATGCAAAATGTAAACCTATTTTTAAGAAGTGTCTGAACTATAGTAACAGACTAAATTAAATTTTGGGATTTAATTCGGTTTTTATTGAGCTCTCAAATAGTCTATGATGTTTCTCCCAACTGAAAAATTAGTGAAGTTGAAAGTCTCGTTACATTTGGTCTAATTAAGTATAGATAATTTTGGGAATTACAACATTCAGCCCTCTCTTAAAAGTTCCTTCTTTTGAGTTCTTTCATTTTTCCCCTTGCTACTCACATTAATCAGTTTAAAAAATATATAAATGGAACTTTGCACTATTTCTTTGGCAGGTTTTCCCCAATATTTAAATCTTCCAAGACGCAGAAGGTTCTCTAGAAAGAAGAAGCAGCGTCCACTATTTTCCCAAAACCAAGTACAAACGATGGAAAAGGAGTTTGCAAAGCATCGTTACATCACAGAAACCAAGCGTGCAGAGCTCTCTACAGAGCTGGGTCTTACAGAAACACAAGTGAAAACGTGGTTCCAAAATAGAAGAACAAAATGGAGAAAGGAAATAAAGGATCAAGTGGTCACAACAGTATCTCAAACGAACAAGAACTGTCAGCAAAATTTGTCGGGAACGAGTTCCTATAATGACGAATTGTCAGCGCCTGCGGCAAGTTCTCGTGCTTTCACAGACTTGTTTCAACGGGATATGTTCATAGTGTAATAAACCAAGTTGTGTGGTGGCAGACAGGTATTTCACTTGAACTCTATCAAAATGGTGTTAATTGATTTAGCCATGCTAAGCTAAAAGCCCTTCTTGGACCTCGTGGCTCTAAAGTTAGATGGCTCCTCACTCGAACTGTTATCCAAATTGTTATATCTTGAACTTTCTGGTTCTTACCAGAACGTAAGGGAAATTCTGTGATTTTCAAGCATTGTACTTTGACCTGAAGAGTGCAGAGCAAGATCAGCCTGTTCTGGCTAGCATATCAACGAGATATTTGTGAAGCTATACTAAAATGTAAAATACCTGCCACAAAGCATTATAGGAAAAGCTAAGTATTGATACAGATCGTCCAAAATTTCAATAATGAACGAAATAAGACTTTTTTTTCTTAATTTCCTTTCCCGAAATGATTTATAAACGAACGCCTGATACGGTTGCGTTAAAAACACTGCAAATATTGGCTTCGATATTACGTATGTACTCATTTGGAAAGACACACATATTGGTTAATTCAGTCCTAGAGTGAGCTTCGTACGTTTTTATGCTATATGTTTGTAAATTTAACTCCAGAGGGTTGCAAATAAATAAGGTAATTTAAGTTTAAGCATTGATGTGGATGCGATGAAATTTGTGGTAACTAAATGCTTCTTGTAAACTCCTTGTCGCGGAAGGCAGTACGGACAACTATCTTCTGAAATAATAGGTATAGGCGACTGAAAATGAGATCTTCTTTATAAAGACTTTATCATTGCCGTATCAACTTGCCGATGTGAGTCATAAAGTAACTAAACAAAGTAATTGTGGGCTCGGTCAAGCAGCATTGAGCCAAACGAAAAAGGTGCAACCTAAAATGGCGCTCTTCGTGCAGAACAACTGATAGCGCCATCCGTTCTCGGAATTAAGAGCAAAAAACGGTTGAGTCACCTGGCTTTAATTGAAGTCCTTCTGCGGGAATTGAGCGGAAGGATTATGCGATTAACTGAGCTATTATTTCTCGCGGTCTAAATTTACAAAAATATCACAGTTGAGCCGATTACATTAAATACATCACTCTCTTGGAACTGGACTATAATATGCATTCTATTACAAAACAGGGAGTAACTGACTATTTCTTACTTGAATCGCAGAATACTACGGCCCACAAGCGTTTATGTTCAAGAGCTTTCATTATATCATGGCATGCTTCAAGGATTATCCTTCGTTATTGAATTTGTACCTCTTAGGGCGTCGCTGTTGTTGACAATTACATGTCGCGTATTACACAGCTACGGAAACAAAGTCCTGTGATATGCCGTACTTACAAATTACAAATTCATAGACGAAAAGCTATTTCTGCACGCAAAACGACCTTTAAAAATCAAACTTCCCTCAAAAGGCATTCAGTGTCACGGTATTCAACAATACTAAAGAAAATTAAGAGAGGGTGGCTCGATAACAAAGGGCGGAGAACTAAAATTGCAATAAGCGTTAGAAGTTGCATATCATGAACTGCATTCTTGGACTCTAACTCAGCTCTTACATTCCTCGGTTACACTTTTTGAGTCCTCATTTTAAAGTGAATACATAGAACGAGATGTGGAAAACAAAACAGATGACATAAAAAACGTCAGCCAAGGGTAATAGATTGATGAAACTTGTCAGTCTAAGAAATGTTAGAGTACATAAATCGCCTTCTTCTGTCACAAACAGATTCAATTTTATCTGTGTTTTCGACCATAGGACGTTAGCGGTTCTTAGTTTGGGGTTGGTCACCCAGGCGCCATCAGACTTGACATGTGATATTCTCGTTGGCTCCTGATCGGAAAAGGAAAGAAAAACTGATCTCAAATAGTATTAGTGGTCAAGAGTGGTCGTGATTCCTGAACCCGTAATTATTAAGTGATGAAAGAAAACAGCTGTAACAGATGTTACTCGCCAATATTTCCAATGTGCCCAACCTTAACAAGAGACGCGGAAGAAGTAATCACGAAATTGATCTGCTTACAGGATTTTAAGGTACACTAAACCTTACACAGCCACAATTGTTCAAGTCGGTGAGCTTGCAGTACTCCTTGAAGTATTGCATGGTCTCGATACTGATTCTCAATTAGCTAAAAAATCATTTTAATTTCCACAAAAACACGAAACAATATTGTAAAAGTTGTGACTCTATTAGTTATTGGTAAGTACTTTTTTTCGAGTCTTTTTCTGTGGTTTCATCGTCTCCATTCTCATTTCTTTCTCCTCTTTCTTCATATCTTCCCATCTTCCCATCGCAGGCAACAAGTTGCCTCATTAGCAAATGTTAGTCCCAGTTTGATTAAATAACTTTTTCTGTACATCCCAAGTAGTTTTGTGATTCTATCAAGCCCTGTCTACCAAACAATGTTCGTATCATCATCATCATTATCATATATCATCTATGTTATCAGCACAAAGATCACCGTACAGATGATATTCACCGATAGCTGTCGGCTTAGACTTTCTCTTCAACTTTTCGAGCCAATAATCCTTTTGTTTCACCTGTAGCGTCATCGCACTGACCCCGCCCATTTTGATCATAATTTTGCTACCGTTCTTCGCACTCAACTGTAAAATTATTGAAATCAAAGAAACCTGTTGTAATTGACCGAGGAGTTTGAGTGAAATCAAATTTGAGCGAAGATTACTAATAACGTAAAGGATTACCCCACGGTCCTGACCTAACCATTGATCATTCTGACATCCAGAACATTTCACGCTGTGCAATGTTGAGTCTTAAAGCTACCCTACCTGTCCTCGGCATGGAACACTTTTAAGAGCAAACAGCAATAAACATAATTAGATAATGTAACCAAGGCAACTAAATGTCATTATCATTAGCGAAATGTCCTATGACATGCTTTTAATAGACTACATCATTATCTTGACTGCATTATTTTCTTAATTACTCTCTCAATGCTGATGCATTGTTACTTTACAAGAACTGATAATTGCAATATTTATCAGCACAAAAGCAATTAGACCTCGGAAATGCTGGAACTCAGATACTTTTATTATAATTTACGAGTGAAAACTTTTTCAATTTACGGGGATTATGGTATCGTGTCTAGCTGAGCATAAAGAGATTTGCCGTGATAAGAGCCAGACTGATCGTTAAACATAAAACGTGACTAAATAAAATGGAGACTAAGAATTTCCAAAAATCAAAGCATATATGAAAGTATTTCACACCGTGCCGATAGCGCGACCTCAGACACTTTGGCGGATCGCCTAGGATTGATAAGGAGTTAGCTGTCAATAACTGATAATTATCAAGAAGGGTTAAAAGTATCCTGTTTCATGATTAATGGAGTTTTTCTGGCGTGCATATTTACACATAGTTACATCTTGTGAACATTAATGCATGGTTATCTCTCGCTATTGGGTGCGCGACATGCAGGTAACGTTTTCGTTTCTGCGAGGTAAACGACCTACCGCGCACTACCAAGGGCACTGCACGTTCAAAAATGCCTTTGATTCCTTCGCACTCTGTTTTAGCAGTTTCCCGTTGTTTGGTTTCTTTTGTCTTGCTAAACTAACGTTTACCTGCAAAATGCAGGACAATACATCAAAACTAATAACCTTTGGAAAAAAAATTACGTTTCATCCACAGTCTCTTTTATTAAAACCGCTCTCTTAATGGGAACAAAATCACATTTAAGTGCATTTGGATAAGGGTCAGGTGCACCAATCGGATGATCCTGTACAACTTTTTACACGAACCGGTATTAGAGGTTCGATTTAAGACTTAAAACGATAAAAGAGCCAAAATATAACTCGAAGTAATCTTGAAATATCAAATTATAATTAACCGCCAACCGTTGTATAGCCAACCAATTTTAGCTGAGCTGTGTGTCACTCACTGAGCAACAAAGAAGTTCTTGACGCGGGGCAGTAAAATTTTCTTCGAGTAGTCTTCTTATTTATTAGTACATGTTAGCGTCACATAACGACTTTCCTATCTAAGCGGTACATAGGAAGTTTGTCACCATGGACCTAGCTGAACGGCCTTACGGCCAAAGCACTAATCAGAAGATCGTAGGTTCGAGTCCTCTTGGCTGCACTCCGAATTTCCCTCGTTTTCGATGATTATCCTTGTGTCATTTACTTAGCAACATCTTAGTTCACTAACACTATAATTTACCATCTTCAACTACATCATTATTACTCATAAGCGCCACATATCGACATTCCTATCCTCGCAGTATGTGAAGATAGGAATGGACCTAGTTCAACGGACTAGCTTGATACAAGTCTCCTATAGCTTACTGGTAGAGCGTCCAAAGTACTTATCGGAACTTGTGAGGTCGTACGTTTGACAACTATGGGCAGCACTCAGACTTTCCCTTTTTTCTCTGAGTACGCCTGTGTCATTTACTGAACAACGCCTTATTTCACTTGTAAGTCACTAGCAATATAATTTACCATCTTCGTTTACATCATCAGTGCGCACGAGTATTGCATTCCTAAACTTGTAATATGCAGGAAGTTTGTCACCACAAACCTAGCTAATCGGTATAACTTGCCACAAATCTACTCTAACTCAGAAGTTGAACGTCCATAGCGCTAATTAGAAGTTCATAGGTTGGAGTCCTGTTGGGCGCCCTACGTTCGACAACTATGCGGAGCACTCGGATTTTCCTATCTTTACATGAGTATACCTATGTCATTTACTGAAGAACATCTTCCTTCTCTTGAATCATCAGGTTAAAACATATCGACATTCTTATCCTCGCAGTATGCAGCAAGATTGTCACCATGAACATAGTTAAACGGCCTAATCACATGAGTGGTAGTACGTCCAAAGTACTAATCAGGTGGTCGTAAGTTCGAGTATTGATGGGCACACACACACATCTTCCACACACACACTCACACATCTTCCTTTACTGTAGCTTAAAATTTACCACTTTCATTCAAATCATCACTGCCTATATATCGACATTGCTATCCTGGCTATGTGCAGAAATTTTGTCATAATAGACCTGGTTCAACGGCCTAGCTTGATGATAGTCTTTTATAGCCTAGTGGTAGGGCGTCCGAAGTGTGCAGGAAGTTTGTCGCTATAGACGAACAAAGATAACCTGCGATGCGTTAAGGACATTTGAACACAAACTACAGACATCGACTCCGGGAAATACACATGGAATGAATTTTATTTGAGATATTATTAGTTTTATTTGAGAGGTTCTGCTGTAAGTGACCGTTCAATACAGGTGGAGGACAACACAAACAGGCCGTTGGGACTCAGTCAAGGGTGACCACCACCGCTTGATAGAGGGAAATTTACTGTAATCAAAGGGAAAAAATTTTGGGACTTTGACAACCGACCGCTTAATATGGTGTTGCTTAATACAGGTTCGACTGTTGTTGATTTTTGCCAGAATAATATTTTACTCCTCATCATGTACGTTAGTTTTTGCGGATCATATGATTCACGTGTACCAAAGGTGGTGTAGAATCGATATAGCGGTCGATATATCGATCGAGTATTGACCGACTATCGACTGACAATCGACTGACAATCGAACAAGATGTTGACCGCCAGATCGACCCGACACTACCTATA